TGCCACCTCTGTTTCAGGATCAGTCCCATTGCAGCTCTCTGAGCATTGGGCCTGACCCATACTGTGTGTGCCCCTGTCTCAGGCTTTTCCCTCCAGGGCAGAGACCTTTGGGACGGCATAGGAGGCCCAGCCACCCAGAGTGCAGAGACTTGGTTAAACTCGGCTTCACAAACAATAGGAACCCAAGAAAAGTTCAGGACACTTTTAGCCCTTTTAATCTTGGTTGATTTTAATCCCTCGTGTGCCCCCTTCTGTGTTCAGTGGCTCCTGCTTGGCTGTCCCAGCTCTTCCCCAAACCAGCACAAACAGGGATCTCCTCCCAGACTAGCCCTTGCCAGATGGTGACTTGAGCCCCATGCCCATCCTAGTGCTCATGTCTTGTGGGTGGCTGGGGCTGCCCCCACACATCCCAGTGCAATCAGCCACCTCAAGAACCTGCATGAAGCCAGGGTCTCTGCCTCTAGCCCTCTGCTCACTGAAGCAGCTGAGCATCCTGCTGGCCCAAGCAGGAGGCCATTTTGGGGAACAGAGCTGGGCCCACACCTGGGCTTGTATCTGCTTCAACTAAGCTCCCCTGTGGGAGGTCTCCTTCATTGAGTTAATGGCAGTGCTTAGTGATGGATTTCCCTGTTGCAATCAGTCTGTGCTGCAGCCCAGCTTGCTCCTCGGGGACCTGCCTTAACTCTTGAGGAGAGGCAGAGGGGGCTGCCATACTGGCCCAGGAGGACGTTTACTGTTGGATGCAATCTGACAAAGCTATTGCAAGGATTTTTGTTGTTGTTGCTCTCATTCTACTTAAGGGAAACTTCCTTTCTTGTCTCTGCCACTGAAGTTTCAGTGCCTAGGAGGGCTGGTGGGAGCCAGCACAGCCAGAGGCTCGGTAGGCGTGTGAAGACATGGAACACTTGCTGTCATGTTTCCCCAGCTGTGCCCTTCAGGTACAAGTGCTGAGCATTGGCCTGTGCAGCTGCTGCTGAGGGTCAGCCCTGTTCAGCTGGGAACAGGGGGGCCGGGGAGGGTTATGTAGTCGAGGCTGCATTTCACTGGTGACTATTGAACAGAGCTGGTCATGCACTGCTGCCTGAGCCACCGTGTGGTGTCTGGACAGGGAGGGGGCTCTGCGCCAGGTGTTGCCAATAATGCTCAGGCTGTGCTGCCTCCTGCTCAGGGTCTCATGCTGGGGCTACTGGCATGGGCAGAGCTTCCCACACCAATTTGGTGACATCCTCACAGCAGCTCTCCTTGCCACAGGCCATGCCCTTGCTGTAGTGAGGAGCCTTGTGGGGGTGAGGATTCCTTCCTGCAAGCTGTTAAAGTTCACCAAGCTGATCTGCGGGGAGTGGAGGAGAATTGTTCCTCCCCTGTGAAGGGTTATGAGGAAGCTCCTTTGCTTTCTCCCACCATGTTCTGTGCTGGAATCCTAGCTTAGACTGGGATCTGTAGGGCAAGCCTGCCATGCAATTGTTGTTAATAGCAGCTATGAGCAGGCACTGCCTCTTCCCTGGGAGAGGTAATGCATTCACTCTGCTGGCGGTACCCTGCACTGGGGGAGGCTCGGTCTGTCTTTTCTCCCTTTCAGTCACCTTGCACACAACTGCTTTGCTGGCTCCGATGGTCTGAAAAGGGGACCCTTCCCCCTCCAGCCCTGGCACTTAGCGCTGGGTTCCATTACAGTGGGTGCCCCTCATATGCTCCTGCAGGAAGAACAGAGTCCCAGTGAGCACTCCCCTCTTGTGTTATTGTGCAAATACAAATAATGGTGCCGGGGAGGGGTGAGTGTCTCCTTCCGCTGTTTGCAGTGACCTTGGGGTAACATTCAGCACTGCCCCATACTCAAGCTGCTGCTGCTCCCTTCCCTGGAAGAGCTGAGAGGGGCTGAGCACCTTATCCCCTCCCCCCCCCTTCTGTGGCGTGACTGTTCAGTGCCATGCTTTTCATGCTCCCTGTTCTCGTCTTGGATTCTCTAATGCAGAGGGATGGTTTCCATTTCCTTGGCATCTATATATAATGTACAGAATAAAGATGTTTTATTGAGAAAGAACCTTGGCTGAGTTGTGAAGGGGGATGGTTGAGCAGAGCCCACCCCAGCCACTGCCCTTGCAGTTACTACCCTCTGGTAAACGATCTGTGCTGGGGCCTATAAGGACTGCATGTATCACTGGTTACAAGCATACACTGCCTGCTTAGCTGAGCCGGACCAAATGTGGGGCTAAGGTAGCTGACAGCCACGTCACCCTGAGTACAGCTCTTATTGCAGTGGGTGGAGCTGTGTCTTATGCGTCTCAGAAGCCACAAATTCCTGCTACCCTGGAGTCTGATTAAAGGGTGACACCATGTGACCTTCACTGGTGCTTTGACACAGCTCATGTTAATTTAAAAGCAGTATGTAACTGCAGGGGGGAGGGGAGCTGAGTATGTTCCACTCAGCCTGAGAGCTGGCTGCAGCAGTAGGCTTGGCAGACTGATCTTTAATTTGGATGGATAATATCAATGTTTAAGCATTTTATTTTTATTGATCTAAATTTTTACAATGGGGGGGCTCAGACTAATTATTTTATGACAGTAGGTGTTGAGATTCAAAAAGCTAAAGCTTTATAAACAAACTGTCAACATGTCCAAATATACAGAGTAACTAGCCATAGTTTGAATTAAGTTCTCAAGCAGCATTTTTCTTACTTTGCCTGTCTAAACTTTGATTATCAATGGAAATATTTGCTCAGCAGTCTGGATGCATACAGTGAAATGGATGTTTGACATTTACTGCTTCAAAAATCTAATCCTTCCACCCCATATAGAGGAGACTAACAAAACTGGAAATGCTCCAGTGTTTCTCCTTGAAGGGGTTGAAGTGCAGGAGAAATTCTTGCTGTGTGCATCACTGAGGGTGACCAGCTGGACCTGTCTCCTCAGGATAGCAACTGGATGCATCTTCTCTTACTCAGCCTGTTTTCTATTTTAGGGCCTTGGCCACCACCTGAGTCAGTTTAATTTCCTGATTGCCTTGCAGGAACCAGCTGTTGTGACAGCAAAGTGAGGCAATCCCACTAAACAGGTTGTAATGTCTATTCAGGGGAGGGTGAAAACCCATCATTTCTTTCTAAAGTGGAGGCCTAATATTAGGGGGAAGGTCATTTTAATTCTGTCCCTCCCAAATGACTAAGGGCAGCACTATGAAGCAGAAGAATTCCTTTCCTATGCTGCTGTACATCCCTTCCTCCACCCCCCTCAAAAAAGTGAGTGAGGGGGGCTGGAAGGTATTAGAACTGCACTAACACCAAGGAGCATCCCAGAGCAGGACAAAGAAGCAGGCTCTGGCTGAGGCAGAGCTAGCAACTGATGCAAGAACTTGCTGCTGCAGTTGAGCTGATGGGGGAAGGGAAGGGAAATGAAATAATCATGCAAATACAGCTCTGGCATGCTCCTTGCTATCTACACCCAGCAGTATGATCCTGAGGCTGTCCCTTTGCTGCTCACTCAAAGAGGAGAATCCCACAGCTGATGAAACCGCCTGCAAGGCTAGAGTTTCTGAACCACACCCCAAGCTGCTTTTCCCACACAGTACTAAGTTCAAGAAATCCTCTACGAGAAGGTTATTTCCCTATTAACTGAGCTCTGTGCTAGCAGTGCAGGCTGATGGCTCCTCAGTCACTGAATGCAGTACAGTCCAGCTCTCAGTTGAGGCTTGTTCCCTACACATTCTAGTGCTGTCTGCTCTGCTGCAAGGGTAGTAAGTGCCACACCAGCCCTTTCCACCCCCCCAACGTGAGCATCACTCCCCAGCCTGCCAGCAGAAGTCTTTGTAGCCTCCTTGGTGCAGCAGGGGAGAACCAGGCCAGTAACAAGGGGCTGTAGAGCATGTTGTTTTCATGCTTGGGGTAGAGGACATGCCTTTAGAAGCAATATAAACAGTGATGTGGCCTCTCTGAGGGACTCTATTAGCCCATTCTCCTCTTCCCCTGCAAGTAGTGGGTTTGATTTTGGAAGAACATGATTTTCAAGTCTCTTTGCACTCCCCCTGAAGGACTCTAGTTCTGGACTTCACCCACATCATTACTGGGGTAATGGGACACTGGCATAGGGCCGCACAGTCCCACTGAGCTGTGTGGCCTTGCTGCTCAGGCCACCTCACAGGAAGCACACGTCTCTTCGGAGTAAGGGTTATAGCAGTCTGCCTTGTGTGCACCGGAGCCCAGCTCTGAGCTGTAATGGCTTGCAGGCGCTATTTGACTCTCCTCACCTGTAGTGCTCTGCCATAATCTACAACAGCAATGCACTCTACCATGCCTTGGCCTCCCTGCCTTGAGAGAAAGGCAGGCCTGCACAGTACGTTGGCATACCCTGGCTTTAAAAAACCTCCCTAAAAGGGGGACTAGAGCCAACAAACTTGTCCCAGAGGAGTGGATCACATCCCTCCATGCATGAGGCCAGGCTGACAGAACAAAGCTTGTAGAGCATCACTGTGCCCCTGGAGACTCCTTAGCACTGATGGCAGCTTCTCTGACAGGACTGATCAGAGGAACTCCCCCCCTGCTGTAGGAAGCTGGTGAAGGAGTGTGGAATGTGGGGCTCAGCTACCACACTGCCCCACGCCCTGGCATTAGCAAGGAGTGGAGGTACTATACTAAATCAACTAGCACAGTCCGACAGGAAGGAACTATGGTTAAGGCACTGCAGGGGTTACAGCTCACTCCCAGACTCTGCCCCAGACTCGTGACCTGAGGCAGTCACTGTCCCTCTGTGCCATAGCTCCCCAGCAGTAAAATGGGGATAATGACACTTCCCAACTCACAGGAGCACTGCACGTGTAACATCCATTACTGTTTGCAGAGCAAAAATGCCCAGTAACGGGACCATGGGAATGCCTGATCACTATGCAGGCTGTGCCACCCTGACACTGTTTCTGTCAGCATCAACACCTAGGAGGCAGGAGGAATGTTACCAGAATCTGCTAAGTGAAAAGGTAGGTGCATTTCCCCAAGAGCCTCACTAGGTTCCAGACCTTTATTATGCAATCTTTGGATAAAAGTTATTTACAGGAAGGATAAAAACTTCACAAATCACTCAACTTCAGGCTAAAATGGCCCTGGAGCTCCTAGGGGGGCAGCCGTTTAAAGAAGAATTCCAGAGTCCTGGTCACTCCTTGCCTGGGTCGCTTTGCACTGGAGCCACCAGGGGTCTTGGCTTTGGTTTTGCTCTTGGCAGGAGAACTGGGAGAAGCAGCAGGGGCCCTGAGGGGGCTGGGTTCTGAGAAGGAGCTCTGCAGCTCCACAGCAAAGTGATAGTCCATGTGCTCCAGGAGCTCCCACACTGGCACCTGCTGGCCACACTTCTCACAGTGCAGCTGGTCTACTGGTGAGCTGGCAGGGCCTTGTGCAAACCCAGCAGAGGGTGGCAAACTCTGCTCCTTCCACTCAGGTAGCTCTGAAGCAGCTGCTCCAGCTGATTCTGTTTTTAGAGTGCTCCTGGAGGCTGGGCCAGCAGAGGGGGTTTCTGCAGGATAAGGGAGCAACTCCTCAGGGGGAAGCCATCTGTATGGGGAGGGGGAGCTGCCACCCTTGGGACTGTGCCTCACAAGAGCTTCTGGAGTCTGACTCTTGCCAAGGATGAGACCTTCTCTCTCACTGTGGCCACAGGGATCAGGCACTGACAACTCTGCCTCTGCACTGGGGACACCAGGCAGGCAGGGCTCTCTGGCCACACGGGGTCGCTGCCTTTCCGCTGCCTTCCGGAAAAAGGACTCAATAGCATTCATGGGCTTCTTGCTGGGCTCTTTTCTTGGGCTCCCAGTGCACTTGGCATTTGGGCTGGTTGCATTGGTGCCAGCTGGCAGGGTACACTGGGCATCACTTGTCAGGAAGGCAGCAATGCCTGCAGGAGAGTGTGTGGGAGCCTCAGAAAACTTGCTTGCGTAGATATGCAGAAATGTAAGTGGAGGGGACCTGTGGAGAAAGGCAGAAACAGCTCAGACCCAGCCCAAGAAGTGCAAAGCCTTTCAAGGCAGGATTCAAATAAGTGTGTCAGGTTTCACTGGGCATGGTGACAGTACAGCAGCTGAGAGCTGGGACAGGACATTGGTGGGCTGGTGGGGGGGGGGGGGGGTGTTTTAGTCATGCCTGTTGGCCAAACACTAGTACCCCTTCCTTCTCCTCCTCATGACTTTGCAGTAAGAGGCCTGGGTGCTGCAGATTGCCTGTGTTACTGCTAGGAGCAAAGCAGCACTTCCTTGAGGAATGTGACTTGAGCAGAGGGACCTGGGCCAGGCCCCCTGGTTTCTGGCAAGAAGACTGAACCCTCAGTCCGATCTGCCAGGGATGGGAGCTCCTGCAACTCTCAGGCTCCCCGTCAGGAATGAGCTGTCCTGAAGGAGTTGCTGCTCTGAGCCCAGCACACTGCATCCTCCTGCCCAAGCTAGGACACGAGGGTGGAAAGGAAACAGGTTGTGGTTAAAGTGCTTTTATTCCCCCCCGTCCCCCAAGCCCTCTCTGCCCAACAAGCATCTTGTCCCCCTGACCACCAGAGCACAGCCATTCTCTTCTGGCTAGCCCAGGGATGGCACTCTGAGCATAAGCCAGCCAGGTACTCACACTGCAGCAGGTACAGCTCAGTTCATTCCAACTCCACAGGAGCACAGCCCTGGGTGCAGCCTTGCCCCCCTTTCTATTGGCACCACCCAGATGCTGAATGTGGAAGTTAGTGCTGCATGGTGGGAGCTTGGGGGAGGATGATGCTCAATAGCTGCCCTTCTGGGTGAGTAGTGCTCACCTGCAGTCGAGCCCAGGACAACATGTGCCTTGTGTCTTTCAGCTCTGAGGGCCCCAGCTCTCTCTGCCAGAGCCAGCTCCTTCCAAATTCAATCCCCACCCGTCAGTATTCAACACAGCCCCTTTGTCCTGCATGTGTCATCTGCCAGGGCACAGCCCAGCCCCCCTCCTCCAGCACACCAACCCTGAGGCCAGGAACAGGACCTGCTCACCATGCAGCCTCCTGGGCTCCAGCCATATTGCAGTTTCGAATGATCATGATGGCATCACTGCTGATTTTGTGGGCGTCATAGCGGGGCAGGGCACAGCAGCGTGACAGGGCACTGGCTCGCTGATCGCCTTGCATGCGGATGCTCACAGTCAGCTGTTTGGCCACCCGGCAGTTCTGCAGAGAGAGGACACAGCTGCAGTACAGGGCAAAGCAGTGAATGCCAGGAACGGGCTCAGAGAGGTGCTCAGCCTGGAGCACTGTACTGCCAGCCAGTAGCTTTACAATCCAATGCCACCATCTGTCCTAGCAGGACCAGCTGCTGTCCATCACCATCATGCTGAGTGTGTGAGGGGCTTATACACCTTGTGCATGTATGGGGGGGAAGGGGTGTAATCCCTGCTTCCATCCCTACACAGGTACATTCTCCTTTATCCACATCACAATACAGCATATCTGCAAGGCTAGTCTCAGCCCTGGCCAGCAACGTAGGATCTACGGGTTATAAAGCAGCTCGTTCACTTTTAGGGGTGCAGGGCAGGGCTCCCAGGAGTGAGCCAGCAGGAAGCACATGCTAGGACTGAGTGCACAGAGAGGAAGCTGCCTGCCCCGAGCACACTCATCCCCTCACGTGTACCTGATGCTCACATCCAGTAAGGGAGGGGAGAGGAGGACAGTGGTTAGCTCAGGGTATTTTTGGGTCAGGCCTTCCTACAGCACCTTTCCCTCTCTGGGTCCTTCCTCACCTCTTAACCCACAGTCAGCCAGCAGCTGTGCATTTGAATGCACGGCAACTTCCTCTGCACTCACCACAGTCACCACATCCCCCAGGCTGGTGTCAGACAGCTCAGGTAGCGAAGCCCTGCTGCCTCTGGCCCAGCCCCACAGCAAGGAGAAGCAGAAAACCCTCAAGCCCTGCCTTACTTGGTCTCTGTCCTTGCTCAGTCTCTCCTCCAGCTCCAAGGCCATCTGCAGGAGCCAGTGCTGCACCTGCAAGCAGCACACAGCAGCGTTTGATACAGCCCCAGGACACCCTCACACACACCCAAGCAGCTGCTGTTACAGGACCTGGCAGTCAGCCCTAACCACCACCACACTAGGCAAGCTGCTGACAGCCAGAGCCCCAGGCAGTTAGGAACATTCAAGGGGCACTTGGCTCAAACTAGGACCAACAGGTCAGTTTCTTACAAACCCCAAGATCACCAAAAATGCTTCCAGGGAATCAATAGAGACAGGGTTTAGATTTAATCTGAGCTGCATCCACCATGCCCCAGAATTTAGAGCATCCCAGATATTGCAGCACACATCAGTGCTGGGAATCTGAAAGGAACAGGAGATCTTCTAGTGACATTGTCCCAGGCAAGCGAAATGCAGCAAGTGCAGAAATCTTGCAGATTTTTAGAGCCCTCATCACTCCCGCCTTCTCAGCTGTTAGTAACACAAGGAAGGACAGAGTTTCTAACATGACAATGTCCATTTAAACCTGGATCTGAACTCAGGCTGGGAGATTCAGAGCTCAGCTTTGTGCTACTCTATCATATGGATGCTTAGAAAACCCTCTCCCACCCTGCCCAAAGACAAGGTGCTCTCCAGTATGGGCCCAGCTGACGTGGGTGGCATTTGTGTTAGCAGCAGGTTTACCATCACTTGCACTGCTGCTGTCACACAAGGACTTTCATTCCATCCAGGCATTTAAAGGCTCCTTTCCAGCAGGAATCTGGATTCCTCTTGGAGAAGAGACTTAGTTACAGAAGTAAAGGCCAGCAATCCTGACAGACGCAGCTAGATGACAGGGAATTTCAGCAGCACTATCAGTTAGCTGTCTTCCTCCAAGCTCCCACTAGCTGCTGTTAACCAAGGCAGACTGAAAGGCAGGAGGAGCACATCTTGTAGCGAAGGCAAAGGCAGAATATAGTGTACAGGACATTCTCATCCAGACACATCCAGCACCATCGCTTGCTGGAGGATTCTCTGCGACTTGAAGTCTTTAAATCATGATTTGGGGACTTCAACAGCTGAGTCAAGGGAGAGAATTATTCCAGGAGTGGGTGGGTCAGCTTTTGTGGCCTGCATCATGCGGGAGGTCAGACTAGATGATCATAATGGTCCCTTCTGACCTTAAAGTCTATGAGTCTATCCAGGTGCTCCCTCAGGCACAGCAGGACCCAGGGGATAAAAATCCATCGGTGCCAAGAAGGGATTGTGCACACAGCTGTGGAGAGGGCAGGACAAAGGAACACTCCCTCCCCTCTCTCCACACTGACCAGTGTGCTGTAGCGTATGAAGGGCTGAGAGACTCCTCTTCCCCGCTGATGGAGGGAGATGTAGAATGTTTCCTCAAGGAATTACACAGCTGCTGTTGCACAGACTCTAGAAAGCCTAAGAGCCTGATTCCAGGGCGCTGCATTTGGCATGGTGAAATGGAGCAGCTCTTGCAACACAGTCTGAGCCCAGAGGGAGGGGGCTGCAGCCTGTGGAATGGCTCAATGGCCATCCCCATCTCTCATATCCCAGGTCCAAACCAGTTCTGCTCAGGAGATCTCACGCTCTCTTACCTGCTTCTGAGTGGTCAAGGCTGCTTTCCCAGGGAAGTTCTTGCTGCAACCAATGGACTTAGGCAATTGCCTGGGTTTCACAGGTTCCTGTTCAATTCCTCTACACATATCATAGAGCCAGGACCTGAAAGTCCCACATGAGGTTTGAGATTAAGGCCAATAATGTTCCACCTCTCCTCCCGACTCCACCTGGGCTCACTGAGTATTCAGCTCAGGAAGACCTCATGGCTCCTGCACCTGCATGTAAAACTAGGCCCCAGGGACTCCTGGGGCAGTGCACACAGGCAGGGTTCAGGGACAACTTCCTGTTCTGAACCCAGCCAGCCACTTGAATTCTCCTGGCCTAGACCTGCCTAGGTAGGCAGTTAGATAAACCACACAATGGGCCACATGGGACTCACCCCTTAGCACTGAATCCTTTACTCCTGCAGAGTACTACACAGGTGTTACCCAACAGCTATGACCCCAGCTGCATCTCACACTGGCCGCATCTGGGGCTACAGAGCTAGGTGACTTCAGCTAGCTGAAGCAATGGGCTGCTTGGCCATTTTAAACTATATTCAGGTGATGGTTCCAGCTCCCCAGGCAGCTGCGATGGCAGCCAGCAGCAGGTTTCATTCAGCTACTAATGGGGAAATACCTTACAGCAGTTATTGCTCAAGTGCCCCAGCTCCCTCCCTACGACAGCAGCATTCCCCAGACTAGAGGTTCCCAGCCCCTGCTCTGTGCATTGGGCATTTCAGGCTTCAGACTGGTATTCTAAGCTCCCAGTGCCCAAGCTTGGGACTGGTATTCTAAGCTCCCAACACTTAAATGATGAGCCTCAGTGCTGGGCCTGAGCACTGCCTGCCTCCTATGCCATTCTTTCTGTCTTCTCTAACCTGCTCTGGAGCTTGGGTTGAGTCCCTGGAGCAGCACATGCTCCACAGCAGCATACAGGGGACAGCTGAATGGCAAACAAGGGCTTAGCCTTGGGAGGGACAGGTGTTTGGAAAGATCAGAAGCCAGTACACGTGCCTAGCAGACCATTACATGACACTGCTCATGTTCCCTGTCTCAATGCAACCCTGAAAAGGCCCAGACAGAAACTCTCCTGAGCAACAACCTCAGCAGAATGGCCTAAAGATCTACTGGTGAAGGAGAGGGAGAACACAAGCCTATTATCCTATGGAGACCTGCAGCCTAGAAGCCAGCATGTCACCTACCCAGTCTTGTCTCCAAAGTGAGTTTGGAGCTGTGACTCGCTGAATAGGGTCAGCTGCCCCATGTACTCCACTCCCAGTACGTCTGTGATGGAGGCACCCAGCTTCCCTCCCAGGTGCCGGCTGCAGGAGAAGGAGGAAACATAGAAGAGAGCTGTCACGTGCAGACTGAGGCATGTTCAGCACACCCCAGCTCCCATTCACTGGCAGGAAGCAGGGTAGGTGAGGGAGCAGCGCTGGCTGGCCAGACTCCTTGACCGAGGAGCAACACATGATGATTCCAGTGAGAATGGGACAGCTCATCAATTCCTAGGCTGAGATGTGGTCGCATAGGAACAGGGAGAGAAAAGGCAGAAATGCAAAGGCAGCACGTCAGCACCCACCCTTGCTTAAAATCTATTTGTTCACTCACTCTTCCCTGCCCTCTCCCCTGGGTCTAGCCATTCCTATGTGGGCAGGAAAGCCCCCAGTAGTAGCTGCCTGAAGGCAGATGCTAACTTTACAGCTCTTGAGCACGGCTTCAAACTGGAAAAGTTGGTAGTACACCTCTACCTCAATATAACGCTGTCCTCGGGAGCCAAAAAATCTTACCACGTTATAGGTGAAACCGCGTTATATCGAACTTGCTTTGATCCGCTGGAGTGCGCAGCCCCACCCCCCCGGAGCACTGCTTTACCGCGTTATATTAGAATTCGTGTTATACCGGGTCGCGTTATATCGGGGTAGAGGTGTACTTTTCCAGCTCCACCATTGTTCCTGAGACGTTGTTCATAGTAGATTGTGCAGATGTTCAGAATATGACCGTGCATGTTCTCCAGGCTCCTGGTGCTCAGCTCCCCATCACTAAGGTCTGAATATACCAAGCACGAGGAGTCTGCATGTTTCCACTTGGCGAGCCTTGCCTGTTGTCCCACTGCACTTATTGTTGAGCTTAGCTACACCTTAGGAAACAGGTTCAGATGATGCCAATTGAACTGTGGTAGGCCTTTTGGGCTTGCCTCCTTCATTGGGGCAGAAGGGAATGGCAGCATCTCTCAAACCCAGTCACTCATGGTATCAGAATGAGATGTCATGCTCAGTAAATTGTGCAGATCTTCCCAATAGGATCCCCCTTTTCTTTTCTTGCATGCTTTAACGAGCAGTGAAGTAGTTAATATTTTAAGGACTTGTCTAACAGCAATTAGTTCTCAGCAAGCTACGGTGTGAATGGATCCCGCAATTAGCTTGCCATGCAAAAACCATCCGTTAATGCGCTTTGATCTAGTCCCATTTCAAAGTGCACTAAGGAACTGTTAGTGAGAGTAAACAGGGTCCAAACAGACAGTAGATTCACACCCCAGCCTGGCACAAACTAAATGTGCATGTAGACAAGCCCAAAATGTCTACATCATCAGTGGGCATCTGAATTAGCCCTTATTGAGCTGAATGGGGCAGTTCACACTGCTCCGAGTTATTCAACTGAGTTCTGCACGCAGAGTGAGCAGGAACTAAAATGTGTATCTTGGCAACCAGATGAGCTAGAGATTATTTTTTAAATGAAAGCTTACATTCTGGTGAACAAAGCAGCAGCATGAAAGAGGGGCTGATACACTCTATTGCCAAGTCCCAGCTCAGTCCAAGTCCCGGGTTCAACAAAAGCACATGACTCCCCAATACTTACATGCTGCTGATGGGCATGTGGCTGAAGAGCTGTGGGACAGATGCCTGCGATACCAGTGTCTGGCGATTGGGCTTGTTCAGCCCACAGGCCAGTTTTGCCAGTGCCTGGAATATGGAAGAGTGTGGAAACCCCATTACTGCAAACCCCATATGCTCAGAGGACCACAGGCTTCTAAAAGACTGCCTACTAGGTTCTGCAGTAGAGCCCCCAGCTAATGGCTGAAGGGCTCTCTCTAGGCTTTGGGATGCCACAGCGTCTTCCGTGGGCACAACTCTATTGAGGACAAGATTCAAGTTCCACCACTCTTCACTCCCTGTTATTAACTAACACAGGATCTGAACTGTGCTGGCTAAACTGTCTTTAAACACAGAGTCACCTGCAACAGTCTAGCTCTGAGAAGGGAGTCAGAACCCTGCTTTAGACATTTTAGAAGACTCAGTGTGTTTAGCATGGTTGTGTTGGCTCAGTTCTGGTCAGGAAACGGTGCTAAAATCCCAAGAGCAACCCTCACACTCCTGCCCTACTACCCACCCCATGCCTGTTTTCTCTGTCTGGGCCTCTCCACTTCCATCCTCTCTGCTCCTGTCTTGCTCTTTCTTGCTGTGTCTCCTTTAGTCTTCTCTCTGCAAGGTCACCAGCAACAGAGTGCTACAGAAGGAAACCTACAAGAGGCTAGTCAGTAAAAAGGTCACATAGTTAATGCAGCGGGAAACCCAGAGCTGCAGTATCGGAGCGAGTCAGTTCCCCTTTGCAGTCCTGTGGTTGCTGCTGGTGGCTGGTTGAACATTACCCAAAGCACATCCACCAGACTGGAAGACAGTAAGACTGAGAAAGCCAACCTGACCCACATCACATCAGCATTTGTGGGGTGTGATGGGGAAGACACTGAACTAGGGCTCTTTCTGTCCAATTAAACAGGCGTTTACACCAGTAAAGCCCTCCTATGGGCACAGAATATGCCTCCTCATTCTAGGAAGGAAACACTCACTTTAAGATCAGTCATTTCTTGAGAGGACTCTCTCCTGAGCACTTTAAAGATCTTTTCCACAGTGAGTTGACTGCTCGGGATATGCCAGAAAAACCAGAGCCCTGGCCAGTAAGTGAATCCAGTTCTAGGTAGTTTACATCTCCACGGTACTGGGCAAACACTACAGCTCATCCCCGTGCTTAATGTTATTTTCAACTACATGTGTTTAAATGTGGCCATGATGTTCTATTCTGCTCAGATTCCATCAGATGGTGACTCTGATGGTTTCATTTATTTTACTGCATAATCAAAGTACACCACTTGAAACAAAACCACCCCACTGTGTTACACACACCTTGTTGTGTGAAATCCCAGCTGAACAACTCAGTCCGGTAACTGCTTCCACAGCTGCCCTCATTTCCTCCACAATTACTGCTCCTACTGTCAGTTGCAGCTCTGGACAGCTGATGTCACCAAAAGGCAGCGACTCAAGCCATTGGTGCAAGCCACGCTGCCGCAGATCCTCTGAAAAAGAGCACAAAGGGGATTGAAGCCCAACACAGCAAGGAGGGTGGCGATTCTAGCAAGCCAGAATGAACAGTGGCCACACACTTGTCACTGCTCCTTTATTCCATGGTCAAGAGGTAAGCTCCCAGCACCAGTGCATTTAGAAAAGGAGAAATCCTATTTACGGGACATGTCCTTTGGAAAAAGGAAAGCAAGTCACTTTCCTGCCGAACTACTGAAACAAAGACAACTATTCCCCAACTGCACCAATAGGAGCCTGAGAAGGAGATGGAGATGAGGTAAGACTTTCACACGCAGATCTGTGCTGTGGAATACCTTGAAACAGACCAAATGAGTTTGCCTTAGATAAGACGCAAGTTAGTAGGTACGTTTGGCCAGATCTGCAAAGTGCTCAAGTATTTACGTGCACAACAGTGCTCCCAAGTGGTTGTTTGGGTACATTCTGGACTAGAGCCTAGCACTCTTTAAAGATAATGCCAGCCCATAGATGTTTTCTTTTGAAAATGAAACTTTAGTCTGAATTTGAGCTTCAGCACAAGACCGTGGATAACAGAGCCCTGGGACCAGGCACTCTGCGTGGCAAGTAGGGATGAAAGAGGTTGGGAAAGGCGACTCTAGAAATCCTTCCCCAGACTATTTGCAATGCTGGCCTTTCACAGTCACAAGTAAGTCACCTTTCACCTGTTACTTAGGTCAGCCTTGTTTCCCATGCATTAGGGCATTTCTACACTATGAGGCCTCCATTTTACTTTCTCTTGGACACGAACTGCAGTGTAGGGCAATTTCATTTTACCTTCACCTTCTTAGAGCTGAAGGGAAATAAACTAAGATGAAAAGCAAAAAGGAACTATTAACTCCAGGAAAAGAAGCAGCATCTGCCTGGTGGCTTGGCATTACCTTTGCAATCCACATTCTTTTTCTTTGCTGCTGTTGTAGAGACATTTGGCAGTCCCTGGATGTAGGTAGTTGGCAGCATCTCTGCTGGGATAGGCTGCCCTTGCATCTTCTTGAGCCTCTCTTGCACAGCACTAGTCAGGTCCATGTAGGCTTCATCAATGCTGGCACGCTCAATCACAGCAAAGCGTGACATCACTTTCATCACCTCTACACTAGCCTCTCGGTATCTGCAGAGGAAAGACATAAGGAGCTCAATCTTTGTCATGCACCTGGGACTCAACGGCCTCCCAGCCCATGATCTCTTTCCTTTTGTCTCTCCATCCAACTCCTCTACTGGCTGAGACCTAGCCAGCCACTCGGGCTACTGAGCTGCTGGTTTAACAGATGTGCTCCTCTCCCAAAGCTAAGCTTATGTTTTGCATTAGTATCTCTGCCCCACTATTCAAGGACACTAGTCCGACCCTCATGTGGATGAGCTCAGAGGCTGAAAGCCAAGGCACATCGCAGTCGGGTTTTCTAAATTTGAGGTTAGTGCTGGGGAAGGGTCCGCCCTGACAGATCCAGACACTCAAGGCTAATCTACCGTGGGAAGTTACACTAGCATAGCTCCATCTCTCAGGGGTGCGAAAGACGTTGCTATGCCAACCTAACCCCTCATGTAGACACGGCCAGTCAATGGAAGGATTCTCCCGGCAACCCAGCTATTGCCTCTCGGTGAGATGAATTAATGACACCAATGCAAAAACCCCTTCTGTCGATGCAGGAAGCATCTACGCTAAGGCTACGATGACCTTTCCAGTGGGGCTATGGCTACACTACAGTGCTTACAGTGGCGCAGCTGCACCGTTGTATCACCGCTAGTGCAGATGCTCTAAACCAACGGGAGAGAGTTCTCCCGTCTGCTTCATTACTCCAGCCCCCGTGAGCAGCGGTAGCTATGTCAGCACGCTATCCACAGCGGGGCTTAGGTCTGTGTAATTTGTGTCACTCCAGGGGGTTATTCACACCTGAGGGACATAACTTATCCCAAGCCAAGCTGTAGTTCATACATAGGCTCTGCCCTCCCTGCCTGTGCCCTAGCACGGGTAGCACAGACCCACTGCGGGTTGTGGACGGGTAGCACAGACCCACTGCGGGTTGTGGCTGGGAAAGCTTTACTGCAGGTTTCCCACTCTTCCCTCGCATGCTGAAATCGGGGGCCTCTCTGATCAGCGTCTTGTAGCGCCCGGGAGGGCGGGACCCCGACCCTGCAGCAGGGCGCCAGGCGCTGCACGGACACCCAGCGGGCCCCGGGCTCGCCTCACCTGCTGAGATCCGCCTTCCCGTAGGCCTCCGGGACCCGCGCCAGCACCAGCTGAGGGCAGCGCTTCTGGGCCTCGTCCGCCCGCATGCCCCGGCTGATCCCGAAGGCGCGCGCCTCGTAGCTGACGGCGATGATCCTGCGGGGAGACAGCACAGAGAGTGGGGCCGGGCCGGGCCGGGCGGGGGCCGCCGGAGGGGTGGGGAGGGGAGAGGAGGGGGGGGGGGGAAGATGCAGCACGTACCCGCCGCCCCGCCACGCGTCGTACTGCACCACGGCGCAGGGCCGGCCCCGCAGCTGCGGCTCCCGGCGCTGCTCCACCTGCGCGAAGAAGCAGTCCATGTCCGCCAGCGCCACCACGCGCTCCCGCCCGCGAGACATGCCCCCTGCCCCGCGCGCGCCGGGCGCCGCCACGGGAAAAGTCAACGGCTACGGCTGTAGCGAACCGCGCGCGGCGGCAGTTTGTTTTGCTCCCCGCCCCACGCCGAGACGCCGCGCGCGGCCTGCTGGGAGCTGTAGTCCCCGCACGCAGCAGGAGGAGGAGGAGGCCCGCGGTGCATGCTGGGAGCTGTAGTGCCCGCGGAGGGGTCTGGTGGTGGATCGGTCTCACGCCCCGGTGATATAAGCCCCCTCTTCCGGTTTGGAGAACTGGCGCGGTATGTGCGGCTGCTTGTGATTGGATCGCCGGATATTAAGGAGTCGGGACGGGGATTGGCGCAAGCGCATTGCTATGCCTCCCATCGCCGCAGGCGCCGTTATCCTCCCTTCGCGCATGCGGTTTCCCTCCTTCAAGCGTCGCGCGGTTGTTGGCGCATGCGTAGAAGCCTCTCGGTCCTCATGGCACATGCGTACTATGTAGAGCCATCTTGGTCCCGGGCGCGCCTGCGCACCTGCTCCCTCCTTCTCCCGGTGCGGTAGCCCCTGGTCCTCCCCTGCTCCGGTTGCCCCGCGCGGACCCCGCCTCGCCCGGTGCCGCCATGTCCGCGGAGCAGGTGAGCAGCCTGTGCGAGCAGCTGGTGAAGGCGGTGACGGTGATCATGGACCCGGCCTCCACCCAGCGCTACCGCCTGGAGGCGCTCAAGGTACCGGGGCAGCGGGGTCCGTGTAGGGCGGCCGGGCTCAGCGCTGCCCGCTCCGCACTGGGGTCCTGGCCCGGGGCAGAGCTGGGCCCCAGATCCCGGGGAGCTCGGTGACACCCCCCCCCCGAAACCTGTCACCCCGCCTGGCTCTGCCCCCTGTGCGGGGTTCAGCCCATGTGTCTGCCCCGGGACAGCACGTGTCCGATACCCCTGAATTCTGCCCCGGCTTGAACTGGGTTCCCCGTGGCATGGAGAGCTGGCAGCCCGCATTGCCTTTAATACCCCTGCAGATGTTTAGGGACCCCGGTGATACGCTCTAGGAAAGGTCTATAGAGAGAGGCAGTTTCTCGGGCTGGGCTTTGCTGCAGCATCTTTCCCAGCGTGAATATGACCCTGAAGTTTGTTTCTTTCCAGGCTGGTCAGGGGGATCTGAAGAGCATGAGAGATTCTCATTCTGCTGCTCAGGAGGCTCTGAGCAGCGTCAGAGTCGCTGAAGTAGTCTGCAGCCTCAGGAAAGCAGCTTACAGTACTGGGCCACATTGGGAAAGTATTCCCAGATGATGAGGATTTGAGACACTAGGTGTGATGCTTAAATTGTACAGAAATTGCTCACTTAGCCTCCTGTGCTTTCCAGGGAGAGTTCCCCACTTGCAGTGGGCAGTTTTGAAGCACAGTTTTTCCCCTTATCTCCAAATTGTCCTAATGCTTCACTTTTCCCATGCTCATTTCCATGTTGCCACTTGATAGTTTTTGACTCATTGTTATCCTTGTTCCTTTTCAGTTCTGCGAGGAGTTTAAAGAGAAGTGTCCCATCTGTGTCCCCTGTGGTCTGAAGCTGGCAGAGAAAACCCAGACAGCCATTGTCAGGCACTTTGGTCTTCAGATCTTGGAGCATGTGGTCAAGTAAGGGAGCTCACTTGGGCTGCATGGATGTGGTGTTATCCTAAACTCTGGAGAGCTTTTCATGGAGAGAGAACAGGCCTGTCCATGTCACAGTTGTCAGTGCTAATTATTGTTCCCAGATGTCTGTTGGTTACAGCAGTGGACAGGGTGTCAGGAGATTTGGGTTCTATACTGAGCCCTGTCATTAGGTCACTGGGTGACCTAAGGGGGCAAGTCACTTCCCATCTCTGTCCTTGTCTCTTTGTCTTTAATATGAGGGTAATAGCAAACACTGCAAGAGGGGCATGCAGGTTAATTCATTGCATAGATCTTAGACAAAAGATGCTGGAGACAGGCAGGGAAAGTGTTATCAGTAGATCACTGTAAAGTTCTCTGTCACTAGTTTCAGATTAATAAAAGTACCTCTCCACTACACAGTTTGGAGATCCTTCTTTGTTGGCTCCACAAACCCAATATTTTGTGCTCTTGGTCCTTTTCCTGTAGGTGTTAATGAATCCTGCCCATTCCCTGAACTGTGCTGGTATCAGTGGTGCAGGTGCTCTAACTGGGCAGTAATTTTAACTTCAGCCAATGATGTTGCTCAGTAGGGGATCGGGTATTGGCAGAGCAAATGAACAATGCAGCCTCAGCCTCCCTAGCTTGGGCAAAGGGCTGATGGATTTCTAAGACAAGTCAGTGATCTGTGCCAGCATATTGACTTGGTGCCCTCTGTGTGTTTTGTTGGGCAGGTTTCGCTGGAACAGCATGCCTCGCCTCGAGAAGGTCTATCTGAAGAACAACGTCATGGGGCTCATATCCAATGTAAGTGCTGGCTGCCTCCAGGGTCAAACCACCATATGGAGCAGACTCATAGACTTTAAGTCCAGAAGGGACCATCATGATCATCTAGTCTGACCTCCTGCACTCTGCAGGCCACAGAAGCTCACCCCCCTGCTCCTGTAATAGACCCATAACCTCTGTCTAAGGGACCATAACTAAGGCTACGTTTTAGTCACAGGTATTTTTAGTAAAAGTCATGGACAGATCACGGGCAGTAAACAAAAATTCACGGCCCATGACTTGTACTATATACTCCTAACTAAACCTTGGGCAGAGGGACCGCGGGAGGTCTGGTGGCTCCGTGGGTGCTGGGGGGATGGCCCGGGACCCCTGCTGGTGCTGGGGGGGGGGGGCGGGGGCGGGGGAGGATTGGTGGGTCTGGCAGGCTCCTTACCGGCTTCGCATGTCCCTGCAGCTCCTAGGGGTAGGGAAGGCCAGGTGCGATACATGCGCTGCTCCCATCACGAGCTCTGGCTCTGCAGCTCCCATTGGCCGGGAACCACAGCAAATGGGAGCTGTGGGGGTGGTGCCTGCAAACAGGGACAGCGCGCAGAGCCCCCTGACCCTTCCACCTAGGTCAGGTAAGTGCCGCCCCACATCCCAACCCCCTGAGCCCCCTCCCACACGCAAACTGATGCTGCTGCTGGTGACCTTCCAGAGTGTTCCGGCAGCCCCTGAGCCAGCCGCACCAAAAATCACAGAGGTCACGGAAAGTCATGGAGTCCGTGACAGACACACACAGCCTTAACCATAACCTCTTGCAGAGTTTTTTCACTTTGTTGAGGTGGCATGTGGAAGTGAGGAGGAAGCATGACGTTAAAGTACAGGAGGCCTGAGTTAAATTCCAGACTCTGCCCTTTACTTGCTATATGACCCTGGGAGAGACACCATTTCCCTCTCTACCTCAGTATCCTCATCTGTAAAATGGGGATAACTTACCCATCTCAGGAGAGTGGGGGGTTGTGAGGCTTGCTTTATATCTACAAAGTGTTTTTGCAGTCCTTGGATGGAAGGTTCAGTAAATGTGGAGATTGTCACTCATTCAGTTGAAGTATAGAGCTCACTGCTCCAAAATGCATCTCTGAAGTGAGAGGATTTCTGCTGCTCTTTGCACGAAGGCTAGATGTAGCATCAAAGCCATATCCTTGACTCCCGTGGAGCATGCAATTTGGTCTGGTGCTGTAGGTCAGCAGTGTCTGGGAAAGGAGAATTGTGGATTGAAACCCAAGGTGCTTTAGAGTTCTAGACCTCCTCCCATTTGGCGACCTCAGGAGGTTTCCTGGAACTTCCCACCCACAACTGTCAATCCATCCCATGGAGGCAATGGTCTTCAAAGACCTACTTCTCCTCAGATGACTGTGCACCAGACGACTGAGCCTGCCAGCTGTGAATGCCTGAGAAGGTGGGAGTTCCAATCAGGACAGGAACAGCTGGGTTGAAGGTGTATTTGTGTTTTTCTTATTGTCCAGTGGGTCTGTAGCCAGACTCCCCCATGGTGTGAATGATTGTTCTGGGGACAGCTGGCTCCATCTTGTATGATCAGCATCTTTTTCTCATAGGGAACACAGAATATTTTAGAGGAGGAAAGTCACATTAAGGATGTCCTGTCTCGCATTGTGGTGGAGATGATCAAGCGTGAATGGCCTCAGCACTGGCCTGATATGCTGAAGGAGCTGGACACACTTTCCAAACAAGGGGTATGAAGCACACCTGTCTGTCATACTTGTCTGTACTCTTCCAGTGGCTTATAATTCCAGGTCTCCTTTCCTTATTTCATGGTCAAACAAGCGGAAGTTACAGTAGATTCACAGGCTGTTGTCAGGTCCCATTATTCTAGGCGATCATGATATCAGAGATTAAACCATCCTAGTTATCCCTCTCTGGCTGTTCCCCAGACCATGATCTGGTCTTGATCTGTGTCTCTGAGCTGCTCTCTGAAGGGCTTCATGTTACGGCTAGACTCATAGGTGTGTTTGTGTGGGACATTAGGAGACACAGACAGAACTGGTGATGTTCATCCTCCTGCGTCTGGCAGAGGACGTGGTGACCTTCCAGACGCTGCCCACCCAGCGGCGACGGGACATCCAACAAACTCTTACCCAGAACATGGAGAAGATCTTCAGCTTCCTGCTCACTACCCTGCAGCAGAACGTCAACAAGTATAGGCGCATGGTAAGAAGCTTCTTCCTGGGAGCCTAGTCAGCACTGGGAGCTTGGATATGGGTCACACTTTTTGGGCAAGTGAGAGGAGAATCCGTCTGAAATCAATTGCTGTAGTTACACCATAGAACTCTGTTGTGAGCATGGAAACTGCCGATGGCTGATGAGAAAGTCTCAGGGTTCAAGAGGCAGCATTGGTGTCAGCAGTCTGGATTTCTAGTGTTCATCACCTGAAATGGATGAGAACCTTGCGCTTGGCACTGGGAGGCTCAGTTTGCTGGCACTAAGGCATTGGTTTGCTTGATGCACCATGAGCTACACTAGGGTCCGTTTGGTCCCATTCTCCTAGAGCTCAGGTCAGAAACTCCTACTGCAAAGAGATGGTATGGGATGCTGCTACCTTCCAGTTGCAGATGCCCCTTGTCCTCCCATAAATGGGGCAGTTTGGGCTCTACTTTACTACCATTATAATCCTACGATACCGGAGATGTGCAGATTGCTCAAGGCGTGTAATAATGGCAGATCTTTGCCCCGAGGAGCTTGTAGTCTGATCCGGTGAGAGTGAGATGGGGTTGGGAAGGTGAGGGATACAGCAGTGACCAATCCAGAGACAAGCTTCTTATGTGCACCTCTTGTTCCCTTTTATAATGTGTTAAAATGTGGAGTAATGCTTAGCATGACAACAGCGTGGTGGAGATGGAGCAGTGACAGGCTGTATCCTATTCGCCGAGAGGGACACTTCAACCCATTTCCTTGGCACATTCACTGGCCACATAGACTAGCGGTTCTCAACCAGGGGCACATGTACCCCTGGGGGTACGCAGAGATCTTCCAGGGGGTACACCAACTCATCTAGATATTTGCCTAGTTTTACAATAGGCTACGTAAAAAGCACCAGCGAAGTCAGTACAAACTAAAATTTCGTACAGAGAATGACTTGTTTATACTGTTCTATATACTATACACTGAAATGTAAGTACAATATTTATATTCCAATTGATTTATTTTATAATGATATGGTAAAAATTGGAAAGTAAGCAATTTTTCAGTACTAGTGTGCTGGAACACCTGTATTTTTATGTCTGATTTTGTAAGCAAGTAGTTTTTAAGTGAGGTGAAACTTGGGGGTACGCAAGACAAATCAGACTCCTGCAAGGGGTACAGTAGTCTGGAAAGGTTCAGAGCCACTGGCATAGACAATTCCATAGAACTGTGTATTTCTTTGTGCCGTTTACGGCTGACCCATGGTGGGTAGGAAACCTTGTTGCGTTTCGTAGTTCAGTTGAATACATTTCCAGCTGAGGTCTGAATTACGATGCTGAGACTCTGAAGTGTGGTTTCTTCTGCTAATGGTGGAATCCTTCTGCTTGGCCAGGTGGGAGCGCCCCAGGAGCGAGATGCACTTACCACTCCACAGGTTAGCAGATCTTTGAGCTCTTTGTGGACAGGGTGAATATTGAGGGTTGGGTGTCCAGCTACCAGTTTGCACGCGGGATTGAGAGGGAGGGAATTTCCAAGCCTGGGTGCTGTACTCTGCAGTGCTCTTAGATATTCAGCTGTGGTGTGGTGGGTCTGTACTTAGGTATTTGGGGTACACCTGGTGACTTGAGTCATTGCACTGTAAATGTTGACAGAATGGAGTTTCCAAAGCAAAACCTTGCAGCAGAAAGGGATGCTTGCAATTTCCTTGCATGCAGAAAAACAGAGCATCTGCTCAGATCAGACTCTGCTGTTGCATAATTTAGGCAATAAGATGGCACACACAGTGCATTGTTGCTGTTAAGCAGTTAGAGCTGGGGACTGTAAGTCAGGACTCCTGGGTTCCATTGCTAGCTCTGCCACTGCCTTGCTTTGTGGTCTTGGTCAAGTCACTTCTTTCTAAGCATTAGTTTCATTAGAATGAGGCCACCAACGCTTCCCAGAGGTTGTGATCCTTGAACGTAAGATGCTTTAAAAGGGTAGCAAAGGCATCTTCTTCCCTGGAAGTTTCAAGGAAGTATTGGAACCCACGTACACACATTCAGAGGAACGAGCCACCTGGAACATCTTCTTTCAGAGGAGAGAATCTGTGGCTTAACTTCCAGTGGAAAGTCCTGGGGAAGTGGTAGCGATGGCTGGGGCATTTTCCCGAGCTGGAAAATGTGTTGCAGCCTCTTTCACCGGGCATCTATTCACTGAGGCTTCTCCGGGCTGCACCCTCTTGAATGAGCCAAGGACTGCCCAGCAGTGGATGGGAGGAGATGTGCACCACAGCAGCTCACTTACTGTCTCTTGTTCTCTTTTCAGAAGACTGACCTGGCTCAGGAACCAAAGGTGAGTACGGCCTGGGGAGGCAGTGCACACTGAGGCTGTTTGGAGCCAGACTCAGGTTTCCATGCTGTAGCCTGTCACCAGCCACCAAGTTGCAGTTTATATTTTGGTTAATTACCTTACTGTCTGGAAAGGAGGAAACTGCTCATTTCAAGCAGCCCTGACGTCGTTAGCCTGAGGACTTTGCCCCACTTTCCCTAACCACTGCCACCTCAGTTACTTTCCCAGAGAAGGGCACTTCAGAAAGTAGTTGCTGTCATATAATGCATGTACATCTCCAACATGGAGAAGTCAGCTGTGGCTGAGATATGGGTTTCCCTGCATCTGGGCCAGAGGCAAAGCTCTGCACTGAGATTGTTTACATATAAATTCTTTCTGGCTCTGAACTGTTGGCTATGGTCTATTTGCAGGCCCAGGCAAACTGCCGCGTTGGGATAGCAGCACTGAACACCCTGGCAGGCTACATTGACTGGGTGGCCATGAGCCACATCACAGCAGATAACTGCAAGCTCCTGGAGATGCTGTGCTTGCTCCTGAATGAACCCGAGCTACAAGTGGGAGCAGCAGAGTGTCTTCTGATCGCTGTCAGCAGGAAAGTGAGTTTCTCCTCCCGAGCCTCCCTTGCCCCTCCCACCCTCCGCATTCCCCTCCGCTCCCTGGGTTTATTCTTAGTTTATCAAGTTGAGCGATGGTAATGTCACTCCTTTATCTAAGGAATCAAGTCACCTGCCTCTTTGGCAGCCCAGATGCCTGAGTGACTTTAGGGTGGATGCTTCCCCAGGACAAGGGACAGAGCAGTTTCTGGAACTCACCCAGGCCCTGTTTTCTCTGTCTGCCCTTCCATACAGCTTTGAAGCTTGAAATCTCTGCTTGAGCAAATACCATTAACTCATTCCTAACCCCTGCTGTCCGCAGTGCTCTCTGCCGCAGAGGAGTGTTGGGGTATTGCCGTCTAGCTGTAAGAACCTAGTGAGATTTCTGATGCACAGTAAAGTTTCTCTGAAACAGCACCATAGAGGTGTGCCCTCTATGTTCTGCTGCCATGCCCATCCAGGGTATGTTTATCCCAGATCAGTAGCACAAGCGCAGTGCTCACAAGCAACCCTACAATAACAAACCAGTCCAGCTGCCCTGCAGCAAGAAGCCAATATGCAATGGAAGAAGAAATAGGCCTATAAGGACCAGATTTTGGTTTAAGGCTCCCAATGGGGTTACTGGAGAAAACTACCTGATTCTCCAAGAGTTCTTTAGTTTCTTGTTGCATTTTGTTCTGCTCAGTGGTGGAATGCAAGTCCCCAAATGGTAGCACAGCTAGTGATCTGCCAGCTCCCTCTCGCTGATGGGATGAGGTGTGGTCATGTGTTTTGACCAGTGTTTACTTTGCTTTTTGTCTAGGGGAAGCTGGAGGATCGGAAGCCCCTTATGGTCTTGTTTGGAGATGTTGCCATGCACTACATACTTTCTGCTGCGCAGTGAGTACCATCCAGCTGCTGTGGTAGCACATCATGGTCTTAAGTGGAAACTGGCTATGGCTGGCCTGTATTAATAAGTACCTCCCCGCCCCAAGCTGTACAACTAAAACTGGTCTCTTGGAAATTACCTCAGCACCTGTTCCCATCATGGCCTTCGCTCAGGTGTGGATAGAGTTCTTAGCCTTGTACCATCGAGTGCTGTTTATCGAACCACTGCTGTGCACGGATCCTGAGTGTGGGCAGCATGCAGATCCAGTCTGGCCTGATGGCAGCAAGCTGGCATTGGGTTAGGAGAGGGTAGAAAGTGTTACTTTTCCCATACTTGAAAAGCCAACCATTTTCCTAACTCCCAACTTCCTGAAATCTTCTCTTTTCGCCTGAGATTGATCAAGAGATATTGGGAGAAGGTCCAAAGGGTTTAGTCTAGAAATATTTCTAATCTTAAAATTGGATCTCCTCATACCAGTAATTTCAGTAATGGGGAAGGGAACCCAACCATGCTGATGTCAAATTGTCTTCCCAACTTAACTACCGTGTATGTAATCCTGACCTGCCCTTTCCCTTCTCCCTCCCAGGACAGCAGATGGTGAAGGCCTGGTAGAGAAGCATTATGTTTTCTTGAAGAGACTTTGCCAGGTCTTGTGTGCTTTGGGCAGTCAGCTGTGTGCATTAGTGGTGAGTCCTCTGCAAACACTGGAAGCAGTCCTGACAAGACTGTCTTTCAGGGGAACGATTGGGGATATGGATACCATGATTCTCGTTTGTACCATTGATGTGGACAGCTCCAGTTCTTTCCTCTAAACATGGAGGGAATAGAAAGGGCCTTGCATGCAGTGAAACCTGGCACATGTTTGCTGCCAACTCTTCTAGGGGTGTGCTGGGAACTTTGAATCTTCCACCGACTGCACCAAAGAGGGGATGTAACAAGAGCTGTCATTTAATAAGGGAGCTGGCTTGCTGAAAGATGTTGTTTGTGAAAAGACCAGGTCAGCTGGCTACAGAGAACTGGTGTGACAGTAAACTCTTGGGGAGCTGCGGGAGGAAGGAAAATCCTAAACCACTTGAGAAGATAGACTTAACAAGAAGTGGCTCTAGGAGGTTTGACTACTTCAAGCTAAGGTGACTTCACTCACTGTTATGGTGGAGGGGAGCCTTGGCTATTAATCCTTAGCAAAGCCTGCTGTGAGTGGCAAGGGCCTGTGGCCCTTTATGATACAGGCTCAGCTCAGTCCAGGGATGGCAGAGTGACAGGCAACCCCACAGAAAGGTGTGCTGCTAAGGAAATCCTGGGAAGAACAGCCCCAGAGAAGGGAGCACTCAAGACAGCACTAGGTCAGAGAGTACTGCCAAAGTGAAGAGAAGCAGCACCTTGAAAAGAAGTTTCTGAATTTGGGGCACAAAGCCTGTGGGCTGTCTCCCTAGGGAAATCTTGGACTTCCCAGGAAGAGGGGAGGGAGGCACCCTGAACATGAGACACTTCTGGGGCAATGAGACTGAAAGCTGTTGAATGTACGTGTAGGTGAAGTAAATACTGATGCTTTTTTAAGAACTGCCACATCTCTGGTCTCCTTTTTCCCTCCATTTCTGGGGTAGTCAGGTCATCCTGCCCCTCCCCCCCCCAGTCAATACCTCATGATGGATTGGGTGTTGTGGAGTGGTTATAACTTTTTCCAAGCTACTCATAGTCCATCCTTTTCTCCTAAACGTGGCCGTTGTCTCCTTTGGCAACTCCAGGGCAGGTAATGGGAACTTGGCGCTCTGAAGCGGCAGCAGTTTCAGAACTTTTTCAGCCATTATGCGCTGGCTTTTCTGTCCCCAGCACATTGTGCTCCTGGTTTCCAAGTGGCGCTGCCACTCGGCTCCTCCACTCTACTGCTGAAGCATTATCTGAAATCACTCGTCGTTTTGTCTGAAATTACTCATCCTTCCGTTAACAGGGCTCGGATTCTGACGTGGACACACCAGCCAACCTTGGGAAATACCTGGACTCGTTTCTAGCTTTCACAACCCATCCCAGCCAGGTAGGGGAAAGGGAGAGGGGGCTCTGAGTGCAGCGTGTGTAGTTAAACCACAACGTAGGAGGCCGTGTCACTCCTGCTGCAGAGGGAATCAGCTCATGTCTGTTATGTTTTCGAGAGCCATCTGCCATTTTTCAACCATTTTCTCCTCTGAGGATGTGGAAGGCGATGTGGTCGGTGCTGCACTGCCATCCAGTGTCCTATAAAGCCCACACAGCATGGAGAGCACAGGGTTCAGAGACTGGAGCAAACCCTGGTATTTGCTTGGTGGGAGACTCTTTCTCATTTGCCAGAGTAGCTTGGCAGTTTTGGCTGGGCCTGGAAAGTGCATGGCCTGAATTAGGGAGTCATTGTAGCTTGCCATTCCCCTTTTAGCACAAAGGTTCAAGCTTCTGCACCAGAGAGTACAATCCTGTTGAAACTTTTGTTCTTTCTTCTTTTCCCACCAGTTTCTGCGCTCTTCCACTCAGATCACCTGGGGAGCCCTCTTTCGACATGAAATCCTATCCCGTGACCCTCTGCTGTTGGCTATGATCCCAAAGTACCTTCGTGCATCTATGACTAACCTAGTGAAGGTATGCAGGAGCTCTGTTCTGCTGGGTGTGAGCTGGTGGTGCCTCGGAGAATGTTTCATAGTGGTAACAGTGGAGAAGCTGGGTTTTTGACACAGCAGTGTAGAGCATCATCTCCAGGCTGCAGGATAGCAGTCCTTACCTGAAGATTACAGTTCTTCAGCTCTTCCCCTAGTGTGAGTCCCCTTGGAGCTGGTGCTCAGGCAGAGGTGGGTGATTGCACCACTCGCTCCCTCACCACATCCCTTCTATTTCCAGGTGGGCTTCCCCTCTAAAACAGACAGCCCTAGTTGTGAATACTCTCGCTTTGACTTCGACAGTGATGAGGACTTCAATGCCTTCTTCAACTGTAAGTCCTCCCGGGGCCTCCCGGCAAGGCCTGCTACCTCTGTCTGAGGTTTGCAGGCTTCCCCTCGCTCTCACAGGGCTGGCGGTTCCTGGCCTAGCTTAGTGCCCACCCTCTCAGCTCAGCAATGAGCTTCAATTGCTCACATTGCTGCTCCAGCTCTTCCCGCTTGCCTTGTGCCTCGTGAACTTCTTGGCATTCTCCTATGGCAGCCCAGGCATTCAGTTCGGTTTCCTCTTGGCAACTAAGGTTTGCTGAGCCTGCATTACTCAGTGTCTGAGGTATATGCTTCCTCAGTCAGTCATCCAGGGTAGCAAGGGGAATGAAACTCGCTGTACTCCAGGACTTGGACAGGAACCAGACCTGGAGGCAAGGATCCTAAAAAGAGAGTTTAGCTAAAGAATTTAATCTTATTTCTCAAAGCAAAGCTGGAAGGCTTCCGCGCTGTACTACAAGCTAGTCTACTACCAGGCTATTTGAGCTCGCTCCGCAGAACTTCACTGCCAAAGTAGTAGGCGCAGATGTTCCCAGCTGTGGAAAGGTGAAGAGCGACATTGAAGGGGAGCCATTTCCAATATATGAACCTGACTCCTCATATCCAATTCCCTTGGCAGCTTTCCGTGCCCAGCAGGGAGAAGTCATGAGGATGGCGTGTCGCCTGGACCCAAGGACTGGCTTCCAGATGGCTGGGGAGTGGCTGAAGTACCAGCTGGCAGCTGCTGTTGATATTGGACCCATGAACTGTAAGTTGCCTGAAAAGCACGAGAGACGAGAGGCTCAGCCTCCTGCTGGAGCCCAAAACGAGCTTCTGTGTGTGTCTTTCGAAGCCACACCTCTTAAAATCAACCAGGTTCCAAGTTAGGCTTTCCAAGGTCTCTGCAGGAAAATTCCCTCGCTGCCTACTTAAACAGCCACTGGTCCAGAGCTTTTGACTGACAGGAAAGCACCTTCCTTCCCCTAGTTCCTCTCACTTGTATCTTTCCCATGAAAACAATTTCAAACCGAAAGGCCAGACTTAACTGGATTTGTCCTTCCTATAAAATGCGGCCAATCTCTGTCCTGAGAAATCCAAACGTATCTGCCTCGCAAAGGGCTTTGTCACTCACATTGCTCCTCCTCCACACAGGCCACTTGCTGCCTTTAAAATCCCATTTAAGTGAGACCCTTCCTTTGTTTTCCCTTCTGCTGTGGTTTGTTGGAATCACTTCCTCTTCTATCTCAGGGATGTTGTTTGTGATCCAGGAGCCTCCACCTCGATGACAAAGCAAACAGCCTTTGGACACCATTTAGTACCTACCTCCCATGCTTGCGTGCCAGAACCCTTCTCCCTAGTGGCAAAGGGAATAGGGGGAAAGGAGAGGAGCACTCATGAGTGGGTGGTTCAAATGTCCAGCAAGGTTTCCCTGAGGGACTTTGCAGAGGACTTTCCAAGCTGGCATTGTGCTTGGGAGCAAAGGGGAAGCTAGACTTCTCCAGTGTCACAGGTGCTCCAATTTTCTCTTCTCTTCTCTCCATTCACAGCTAAGACTGGGGAAGGTCTCTGCTCCATCTTCTCTCCTTCCTTTGTACAGTGGGATGCTATGACCTTCTTCTCGGAGAGTGTCATCAGCCAGATGTTCCGGACCCTGGATAAGGAAGTACATACCCTCTAACTGCTGTTTGCCTGGTTTCTATGCCGCGGGTTGACATGGGAGTTTGCTGGCTGCGTTGCCTTTCAGATAATAGGTCGCAAAAATGCTAGCTTGCAGCAACAAAATACAATAGTGCTGAAACTCCAGCTGTCGGGGAGGTCATAGTTGCATTGGGGAATGGTGATCTTTTTGGTAGGTAGGGCCAGTTCCACTGTGGGCTTTGAACATCATAAAAGTGCTTTGGATCTGGACGCTATTCAGTGAGGAGCCAGTGCAGTGATTAGGGTCCCAGGTGATCTCTTTAGAGCAGCCACTATTGTTGGGAGAAAGAGTCTGTTTTAAGTGGTAGCTCTCAGGTTTTGTTCAAATCAGCTTGTGTTTTTCGAGGCAAACTTGCACACACAGTGGAAGAGAGAATTGAACAGCAAAAGATGAGAAAAATGCAGCTTCTCTCTGCCATTTGCAGTGCATTAGCTGGAAAATCACAAGCACAGTGCACTATCTTTATTTGCCATTTAGGGTCTGGCCAGTTTTTAATCAGGATTGGCCTGCTTGGGCATGTCATTCTGGTCACAGCAAAGAATTGCAAGGGTTGTTTTGTGCTGGCTGGGTAAGCCTGAAACTTGTTAGCCAGGAGGCAAAAGCAGAGCTAGGGAAGAGGTGGGAGGAAGTGGACACCGTAGACAGGCAGTAAGAGTTGGAACCTCTGGTTGTTTCCAGACATCCGTAGAGATGGTGATGCTGTCTGTTCCCTCTTTCTTGCAACAGCAATCGCACATAACGTGCGCATAGGTTAAAATGAGCTTTGCTGCTTTTAACCCACTTTGGGCTGACTTCACCCAAGGGTGCTGTTCAACACAGCAGCTCCCTGGCCAGGCCCTGGGAGGAGACATTGGAGTGTTGGCTACATGTCACATCTCTGACTGTTGCTTTCTTTCCTTTTCCCCCCCTCCCCTTTTCTTCTTGCAGGAGATCCCAGTGAATGATGGCATAGAGCTGCTGCAGCTTGTCCTGAACTTTGAAACAAAGGATCCTCTCATCTTGTCCTGTGTGCTCACCAATGTCTCTGCACTCTTCCCGTTTGTCACCTACAGGCCAGAGTATCTACCCCAAGTCCTCTCCAAGGTAGGTGTCCTGTAGACCAGTGGTTGTCAACCAAGGGTATGGGAGTACGGAGAGGTCTTCCAGGAGGTACATCAACTCATTTACATATTTGCCTAGTTTTACAACAGGCTACATAAAAAGCACTAGCAAAGTCAGTACAGACTACAATTTCATACAGACAAAATGAGAAAGTAAGCAATTTTTCAGTACTAGTGTGTTGTGACACTTTTGTATTTTTATGTTTTGTAAGCAAGTAGTTTTTAAATGAGGTGAAACTTGGGCTACGCAAGACCAATCAGACTGCTGAAGGGGGTACAGTAGTCTGGGAAGGTTGAGAGCCACTGTTGTAGATTACCCTTTGACCAGATAGCCTGAGTGGAGTATTGGTACCACATGGCCCTTACATATTTTAACTAATCCTCATGAGACCCCTAGGAGAGGAATGATCCCTCCTGTTAGAAATGGGATTAAAACTGAGGCACTGCAATGAAGTAACTTGCCCAAAGACAGGGAATCAGTGGAGGAGTCATATAACCTGGATTTCGCAATTTCCAGTACTGGACTTCAACCACTAAATGACACACTCTGTCTCAATAAAAGTCGTATCTTATATCATGGCCTCAGTGCACTGGGAACTCATACCCTTCCTGAATAAAGGTGTTTCCACTGGCTTGGTGAAGTCACACCAATATCCTGTGCCTAGTGTTCCAGAATGAATGCCAGATATTGGCGATTGACTGACTTTTCCCTTGTCCCACAGCTATTCACCGCCGTCACTTTTGAAGTTATAGAAGAGAGTAAGGTAAGTCCATACTCCTTGGCCACAGTATGCTATAGTACTTGCATCAGGTGTGCCCTCTTTGAGGAGCATATTGATGCCTGAGACAAGGTCTAAAGTTGCGCTGCAACTGACTTCTCAATCAGATCTGCCCTTGAGAAGGGGATACCTAGACACTTAAATCCCTTCTTCGTGGTCTAAGCCAATAAGCCTTGGCAGATGGAAGCTTGGGAGGCATTTAGGGTGAAATTCACCCCCACGACACAGTCCAGGATATCGCTATTTGGGTATTTGTGCAGCAGACCTCTACTTGGGAGTGAATTTCACGCACTAGCCACCACGCATACCCTTCAGTGGTTGGCATGTGTGTGGCTGTGGTTGGTGTTGGTATGGCTGCCACCCCTGGGTGCATGCTGGGAACCGTAACGCAGTAGATAAAAATCAGTTGCATTCTCATCCCAGGAGTTGAATTGGAGCCCAGAGGCTTGGGCTTGCAGTGACTCCTCTGGGAATTGGCCGTTAACTGGACTCTTGGAATGCACGAGTTGAAGTGTCAGTTTCCCTTGGTCTCCACAGCTCAGAAAATTACATTAATGGATTTGGCTAATGGGGAGGCTTTGGGTCTGTCTGGGTTTTGTAGCTTGACCCTAAATTTTGTTGGTCCAGGCCCCAAGAACTCGTGCAGTGAAGAATGTGAGAAGACATGCATGCTCCTCGATCATAAAGATGTGTCGGGACTACCCTCAGCTTGTCCTAGTATGTACATGCAATTCTGTTCCAGGACGCCACTGTCCCATCTTCAGCTGCATTACTGGGGATTGGGAACCTTCAGTTCCTCTGTGTCAATCCCTTTTTTTTCCAGGGAGACTCTCCCTGTTTTTACTCGGATGTGACTGTAGAGCAGAGATATTTCTGCTGCACAGAAAGCCAAGCGGCTTATTCTCTTTCTCAACACTCGAGTGATACTGACTTTTTATTTGTTTTTAAATATATTGCAGTAGCACCTACAGCAGTGGCTCTCAAACTTTTGTACTGGTGACCCCTTTTACATAGCAAGCCTCTGAGTGCGCCTCCCCCCCCTTATAAATTAAAACACTTTTTTATATATTTAACACCATTATAAATACTGGAGGCAAAGCAGGGCTTGGGGTGGAGGCTGACAGCTCACGACCCCCCATGTAATAACCTCGTGACCCCTTGAGGGGTGCCAACCCCCAGTTTGAGAACCCCTGACCTAGAGGCCCTGATCAGGACCTGGAGCCTGTTGTGCTTGGCCCAGTACAGATATGTAGCAAGGCACAGACCCTGCCCCACAATTTACAATCCAAGATGCTGATCAACATCTCTGAAGTGGGGGAAGGGAGTATTCAAGTCTATAACCATTTTATAGGCACATTTGTTATATTTTATGTATTGTAATATCAGTTGTCCCCTTAGTTGAAGCTATTAGCCCTGGCTGATCTCTTAGATTTTTGCATCAGAAGTGGGTCAGGAGAAGTGATGTCAAGGAGCCGGGGAGGATATTGGCTTTCTGGATTAGTCCAGGGGGAGTGGAAGAGAATATAAATACTGGTCGCTCTTTCTGCTTGATCCCACCAGGTCAGTCTCTTCTACTAGCTTTGCTAAATCAGCAAGCCCACAAACTGTTTGGACTCTTGGCTCCAGCAGCACTGGTATTTGATTGCTAGGGTACCAGGGGAGCTGTAGTTAGAGGGACATTGTGTTGTCAACCTGTTTAAGGAAGGGAACTGTTGAGGCCTGAAGGATAATGGATGGCATTCTGCTCCTCTTGAGGATCCCTTCGGTTGCTGGAGGCGTAGCAGCTGTCACTCACTTTGTGGCTACAGATTAGTCTCCATGTTGTGGCAAAACACAAGCTGCTGCTTTGAAGGTGCTAATTGGGGTCGTTTAGGATTCCAGCTTGTATTTCAGTACAGCTGCCAAGAAAGAGTGGGTTTGTCATCATCCATCCCAAAGGTAATGAATGCGCCTTGATGCTTGTACAAGCTTCTATGCTTGTTCCTTGACGCTTGACGTATGAGTAGAATAGGCAAGCGAAAACTGAACCACTGCAGTGAGGATAGACCATTAGCTTGGACAATCAGGTTTTCTTGGTTAGACTCTCAAGGGTGGGAGCGGAGAGATGTAAAGTCCTGAACTCTGATATTTGAGTGCCTAGAGACCAGCTGACTTCCTTGCCATCCATGAAGGACTAGAGCAATTTGGGGTTTAGACCACGCTGTGATGGTGCAGCTGGCTGAGGCAGCAGTGTCTACCCTGATCTCAAACATTATTTGCCATGGACAATGGAGATCATTGGAGTACCTAGTGGGAGGAAGGGAGATAGAGGAGCAGGGTAGAAACAAGTCTCTGCCAGGCTTAAGGAAGAGGCTGGAAAGATCAGGGCAAGGGAGATGAGTCCTTGAGAGGGACTGCATCTTGTGTGTGGGAATACAATACATACCAGTCTCTCTACCCCCCAAAAGTGAGTGCAGCAGACCCAGTCAGGCGGGTGAGTGACAATGTCCTGCTTGGGTCTTTGTTCCAGCCTAACTTTGAGATGCTGTATAACCACGTGAAGCAGCTGCTGTCCAATGAGCTGCTCCTGACACAGATGGAGAAGTGCGCTCTCATGGAGGCCCTGGTCCTCATCAGCAACCAGTTCAAGGACTACCAGCGGCAGAAGGTTTTCCTGGAGGAGCTCATGTCTCCTGTTGCCAACCTGTGGCTCTCTGAAGAGATGCAGAGGTACAGGGTCCACATTAACCATTCCTGGGCTAGAGCTGAAGATGGTGCAGAGATTCTGGGGGCTAGCATGAGCCTACCTCTAGAGAATGTGTGCACCAGAGGAGCATCGCTTTGTGCCTCCTGTGTTTGCTAGCCACAAGCCTTCTGCACTCTTAAGAAATTTGTCCATGCTTTGAGTCCCTGCTAATAACCCAGGAGATGGAAAAGCTGCTTGGCGTGGAGTATATCTGAACAGCACATGCTGGGAAGGGGTATGGGGCCACAGCACTCTCCAGACCTCTGGCAAAAAGGGGAGTCAAAATACCCCCTCTGCTGACCTCCGGGAGAAGCCATGTGTGCAGAGCTGCTGTGCTCTGCCAACACCTGGGAAAGCTGCTACGCAGCAGCTAGAAGCAGAATTACTGAGCTTTGAAAGGTGCAAAAGGGCTTCTCTGGAATATTTCTTAACTGAATTGAAAGAGGTCCTGGGCTGCAGGTGGACTGTGCATGGGAATATTCGGAGAGGGGTTTGTTGGCTTGCTTCTGCAATTCTGGGCCAAGTCAGCAGAGCTCCATGCGGAGAAGCAGACTTCAGCTCAGCCTGTCCCACCAGCCTGGCCTGATCTCAGGTCACTTGGCATTGATGAGGCCTTGTGTACAGTGAGGGGGTCAGTTTCATTAAACTGAAAGGGGAAGCTAAGCACAGTTGTTTAGGGCAGTCACCTTGAGTGCATCTTTAAGATGAATTGACTGACTGAGGTGAATAGGACTTTTGACTATCTGTGCTGGGACAGCATTTATCGCAGGTGCCAGACTCTGCTTAAAGGTCCTCAGTGCTTTTGATAATCCCAGGCTTGCTTGTTTCTGCCCCTCAGAGTCCTATCAGATCCTGAAGCTTTCATCTCCTACGTGGGTGCTGACAACAAAATCGCTGATCCCGTCTTAGAAGATCCCAGTGGCCTGAACCGCTCCAGAGTGAGTATCCATTACCTGGGGAGGCTCAGTCTTTGGAGAGTGGCAAGTAATTCCTCTGCCTTCTACACGTGCTCACCTATTCTGCCTCTTGAATAGGGCCTTGTGCAAGACCTGTCCTAAACATGCGCCTTTTGTTGGACCCAGATCACTACGTCGTTCACACTGCAGAATGGCGGATGGCTTCTGACTCTAGCTCAGTGGACATGGGTCACGTAAGAGAAGCAGGATCATGTCTCCCGTTCCCCCATCCCTGTGTGGTATATAGAATCCTGTAACCCTGCAAGGCAGGAGGCTTGCTGTATTCCTCATGCGGTAGTTCATAAGCCTTTGTGCCTGGCATAGCTCAGGCTCTTTTTGGAGCAGTCTGTTTTGTGGATGCAGTTGGGTTAAGGCTGGATGTTTTGGGTAATGTGGCGCAGTGAATTGCGATTCCCAAGTGAAGCATTCTGGAAAGCATGAGACAGGTTGTGTGGCATGGAGTGTAACTCAAATACTCGCTGGGAACCGTGGTGTATGAGCTGCTAGCTGCAGGATGTCTTCGCTGGTAGTTGCTGTCTTCAGGGTTGTGGCAGATGTGGAAATGCCGATGGTAGGACTCTGCTTGTGACAGACGCTAATGCAGTTTTAGGCAGTTGCAGGAACGTGGAGTTTCTGGTCGGTCCATGATGTGTGCAAGGAGATGAGACAGTGATGACTTAAATGTTTCCTTTTAGAGGGTGCCCCACGTGGTCATTTGGACCCAGCGAGATCTTCTGCATTGACACTGTGTCCAGTAATAAGCTTCTGTGCTATTCCTGCATGTCAAGCGGTTATTGCAAACCCTGGAAGGTATCAGGATAGTGTGGGGGATCTTCTCATGGGCACGTTCCCCCGAGGCAGCCTGCCCTCAGGGTTGGGCAAGTGGAGTGCCACCCCAGGAGAAGGGCCAGGGGGAGAGGGTTCTCTCTGGCCTTCTGTTGCTTTTGCTTGCGCCCTTGCTAAGAAGAGTTCTCTCCATGTCTTTTGTTTTGCTGTAGATAAGCTTTTGCGTGTACACCATTCTGGGAGTTGTGAAACGGGCTCGTTGGCCCACTACCCTGGAAGAGGCTAAGGCCGGAGGATTTGTGATCGGGTGCATGCCCAGCGGCAATCCGATCTACCGTAACCCCTGCACTGAGCAGGTCCTGAAACTTCTCGACAACTTGCTCGCTCTCATAAGGTGGGTCGAGTTGACGTGACACCAGTTATGCTGACTAAACAGTCTCTTGACGTGAACCTGCAATGTATGTTGTGTGCTCTGAGCGTGTTCTCCCATTGAAGCCAACGGGAGCACAGGCTTGGGCACCTGCACCAGTGCTGTTCCCGACTGTTCTCAGTGGGGAATGAGCCTGGGGAAAGTGAGCCTTCTTCACACTCACAGCCCTGGCCCATGAGATTCCATTGAAGCCAATGGAAGCTCAGGCTGGGGTTGCCTCCCCCACCTCCACTTCCGTCTGGAAATGTGTCCAACCTAAAGCTGCCTCCCTGACTAACCAAGTATTTCTCAACTAACATCTCTGCTCTGCCTTCAGCCCCCACCAGGCCACCTCTCCAGTCACCACCAGAGCAGGGCCTGCTCTCCTGGCGTCCAGTGGGAGTTTGCTTTGGTCTCTCTTCAGTACTAAGTTGAGCTTCTTTGACCGCTGAGTGTGAATTCTGGCTGCCTGAAGCATGATCTGCCATTGAAACCAATGGGGGCTCACGCTAAGGCTCTTTCTGTGCCTTGCAGTGCCGCCTCTCGGTGTACCCGCTGGGAGTCTGCATCGTGTGTCTGCAGCTTGGCCAGGGTGGAGGTGAGACGAAGGTGGTTCAGGTTGGGGTGGGAGGAGGAGTTCTGAATTGTGCCGTTCCCTCACCTGGTGATGCAGTGTTAGGAGAGTAACAGCTCTCTGAGCTACCCCTTGGTGGATTCTCGGTGACTGCCGACAGGGAGGCATTGCTGGGCTTGGGGCTGGCTCTCAGCCTCGCGCTGGCCAGTGATGTGTGTAGTGTATGAGGCAGTTCCCCCCCGTTCTGGAGCTGGGTGGCGGTTGGCAGGTGGGAATTGTGTTTAATCACCACATAGCTTTTCAGCACTCAGCTTTAGTGGGGGAAGGCCTATGTAGGGCACTGTCTAGCCAGGTTCTTAAAAAATGAGTCACTGCCCAAATCAGGACAGTGCTGCTGCCATTGTGAAGAGGGGGGTGGGGTAGGTGCATACAGTCTTGGCCCACTCAAGCAAATTCCTCTTTACAAGGCGTAGGCTGGGCACGTTAGCCCATTGTCAGTGTTGAGCTATCCAGTAGCTATTGATGCAGCAGGGATGAGATTTGCCCTTTACTCGTGAAGGTGGAAGATCCCATGGGTCAGTTCTTTGTGCAGGTTGTGAGCTCTCTGGGCAGAGACAGACTCATGCAGAGTTTCCTGGGTGCTGAGCACTTTGTCATTGTTTGTTTATCTGGCATCACGTCTCTGAAATCCAGCAAACCAGTGTCCAAGTGAGCATTCCCACTCCTTGAGCAGGGTTGGTGGCCGAGGCTGAGTGAGCTGTTTGCTGCCAGTACCAGGCTCGTACTTAGTAAAGGCTTTAGGATACCTGTGTGACAAGCCTAGGAAACTAAATTCCACCCTTGTATGTCAGCAAACTCCCATTGTACTGGTTCTAAAGAAGCAGAAGCTCCAGTACTTGCACAGACTATGCTCTGTTGCTAGTGCTCCTTCTCCAGCGCTGTGGAAGTGGCTCCTATGCTGTTTCCTGGGGGTGATGCACCAGTGTTACCATTAAGACTTTTCTGCCACATACTGATGGGACCACCGGTTTTAGGCATGTCTGAGAAGTAGATCACAACGTGTTGCAGTGGCTTGCACTTGATCCTCAAAGGCCCCCTCCCTTTCCCAATGGAGTTCTCAGGGCTGGTGCTGCACCTGGAAGAATTGAATGGTTGAGATATTGAAAGTGACCAGCCTCCTGCCTTGCACCTTACTGCTGAGCACGGGAGGTGAGGTCCAACTTGGTATGGCTGCCCCAGCCTGCAGGATGCAGGGATTTCTCTGTGGTTGCTCTAGATTTGTAAAATTCTATATAAGCAGCATTGGAGCTGCCAGGGAAGGGTAGAGCTTGTGTTGTGCTTCTCTCTGGAGTTGCTTCTGCTCTCCCAGTGTGTATTTCCCCTGCACTCGTCTCCTAGGGTACCTGTTAATGTGGACGGCATGAGGGGCTGTGAGGTCTGGAGAAGACTTGTGTGGGGAGGTACAGGGCAAAGCGTGGCTGCCTGGAGTGGCGATTGCAGGATCGGGACAATAGCTGCCTTATTGTTGGGATCGATCATTGCTCATAGTTGGCCTATTGGCACGGTGCTATCTGGGAGAAGCAGCCAGCTCCTGCATGGTTAATGTGCCACTGAGGAGAAGGGGCTTATGCTAGGGGTTGGGAACTCTTGCAGGATGCATTGGCTGACTTGAGAGCGACTGGATCAGTAGGAGGCAGCCACACAAATTCTCCTGAGCAGCTGAGTTGAACTGTAAGTAAAGAAGCCCCTTCGAAGCGGAACTGTTCTCCAGTGTAAATGGTTGTTTACACTCCTCTCTGGGTGTCTTGCCTCGTCCTTTGTGCCATGTATGGGAGTAGAGGCTGTGAAAACACACAATAGTCACAAGGTCTGCGCTAAGGTAAGTAATATGTGGAATAGCTCCTCAGTCTTGGCTATGCCCTTAGGGAGATGGCCAGTGAGCTGATACGCTAAATAGGTAACTCCTCTGAGGCAGTCCAAGTGCATGTTGAGGGTTATAGATAGTGTAATGTAACCTCAGCTGGCCAAGTTCTTTTGTGCCTGACCTAACTTGCCTTTCGCTGTTTTGGTGGTTGTGTGAATATTTGTTGAATGGGCTTGAAATTGCCTCATTAATTATTTGTCGCTTGCAGCTTGTCTGCCAATTGTTTCCCTTGTCCTCTGGTATTTCAGTTTATCCATCTGCTTTTGGCTTCTGGTTAACTTTATTTCCTGCCTGGGTTTGAGCCTGAATAATGGTGCCCCCTGGCCTTGGACACGATCTCTGCCTTTGGAGAAAGGGGAGTTTCCTGAAGTCAGCAGCTGCAAAGACTGACTCACCCAGCATCTTCTATACCTGGGATCTGTTCCTGTTGCATTAGAAACAGGCTTATCATGTGCCCTGCATAACCACAGGGCTCTTTCTGAATCCATCTTGACAAGATACTGCTTTTACACAGCATCAGTGTCCATGGTGGATCAGGTGTACAGATATATATAATATGCTCTGGGGAACTCCCTTTTTTCCAATATGGACTTCTGGGAGGCTCTGAAAGGCCCATCCTCTGGCCCAGAAGATTTAGTCTCAGCACAGGAGACACTGCCTGCCTGTTGAGCGGAGCTATAACTGTTTCTCTAAAAACACGGCCCCCATGCCCTGCCATATCCTTTCCCTGGGTCTTTCCTGTATTATAAATATATCTATTGGGAATGCCATTTTCTGTTTTTTCTTCGGTGCTGAATTCCCCAAAGGCCTCTTTGCCCCCTCAATTATGCTCATTGGTCACAAGTAGGGCTGAGAGTGTTGATCTTGCCGTACGCAGTGGCTGAATTCCACCATGCATGGTGGCTGTGCTTTCATGAGGAGCAGCAGATCAGCCCCTCGTGTAACCTCAGTTACTGCTGTAGCTTTGCTGAGCCATTAGCCAGGGGAGATTGACCTTTATATGACTGAGCATCTGCTCGTGCCTCTGCCTGTGATATAGCGGAGGTCAGACTAGATGACTTTGTGATCTCTTCTGACATTAAACTCAATGGCTCATGCAACTCTACTACCAATTTAAGAAAATGTTCTAAGATAGGACCCAAGACAGAGACCTGGAAGATGTGATACTCTGATCCTCACAGGACTGTCCAGACAACCTCTTTGTTCAGAACATAATGTTCCAAACCCGCCCTGCTGCAGGACTAACCACCAGCTCCATAATCCTGAGTTTGGAATGCTGCAACGTGGCTTAGTCAGCCTCCAACCACGTCCCTTTGCTTCGGCTGTTATTAGCATGAAACAGGCTGGAGAGACACACAAGGTGACTGTTTAAAGATGATGAAGCTCCTTTGGCTGGTTGTGCCACGTGGCACTGCATAAGTGGTTCTCTGTAAGCCTCCGACGGGTACGTAGCGCTCTCTGAGCCTGTAAGGCAGCATTTCCCAATTTTTTTTTGAAAGCTGAACGCTTGTCTATAGTTTGCAGCAAGCACTGGTGTAAATCTCACCCGCAGTAGTCTGCCACGCGCTAAATGTCTGTGCGACCTCTGCTGTTTAGCAGTAAAAGTTCTGTGGTGCACTTTGGTCTGTTCCCATTTCAAACTGGGCTAGATCAAAGCACACCAGGGAACTTTTAGTGCCTGCCAGGAGGGTCCACACGGGTAATTAGTGTGCAGTGGGCTACTGTGGGGTAGATTTACACCTCAGCTTGTCATGGACTAGCTGTTCTTGTAAATAAGCCCGACGTCCCCTTTCAGGGAAGTAAAACCAATCATGGCCTCCTTTCTGCCCCACTGCGTGGTGTTAAAAGCCTACCCAAAATGAGTGGTCAGTCAGAGTAGATTGTGAAGACCTTCATGTACTTCCTCTGCTCCTTTATATGCCTTGAACAGTGAAATAGTTAATAATGGTTACAACTAAAATACCCTCACTGGCATCTGTGTTAGCACTCATTGAGCTGAATGGGATAATTCACACCTCGGAGCTGTTTTTGTTTCAGGCTCTCTGCAAACTCAGGCAGAGATTGCTGCATCTTTTGTACTTGGGTCATCTCTTTGAAGGTTTTCTTCATGACTATAGCAGCTAGAGACTTATTTAAAAACAAAAAAGAAAGCTGACACTCTGGAGAACAGTTGAGGCTTGTCTGTGCCCCCTGCCCCCAGCTAGTCCTTCACGCCCCCCAGGGGAGCGCGCACCCCACTTTGGGAAACGCTGCTCTAGGGGGAGATACTGAGTTGCCCTTGATCACCTCTAGCAGCAGGTACAATGGCATTGCAGTTTTGGAGGAGGCTGTTGGGCCGTTTGGCTGCAGGATTTATGCTGTGTGCAGCTGTCGACGCCCAGAGTGGAGGTCTGAGGTCTCAAAGGAGAGAGGTAGGTGAGAGAGACACCCCCTGCTGAGACAAGCTCTGAGAATCATTACTTTGGCTAGTGAGGGACCCTTTTTGGCCTGGATGGCAAAGAACCACCCACCCTTGGCTGAATTGGGGTCCATCACAGAGAGCTGACAGTGAGTGGCCAAATCCTAGTTATGCAGAACTCTTCCCTGCCGGATGCATTGTCCAGAGGGCACATGTCTCTGCCACACTGCCACTTGTAACATGTATATTAGGCTGTTGTGCTCCCTAGAGTTCCTCCAGTGCCGCCTGCCACTCTGGGGACTGTGACCCATCCCTGAGGTGCAGCGTGTGTATTTCGGAGCTGGGACAGCCTCTCCCTCTGCTGGGCCGTTGGGTGCAGAAGATCTTGCTGGAAACAGAATTCATGTCTGTGGGGTTTTTAAATATATTCTCTGGCCTCGCTGGCCAAGCTAATGAGCTGTTGCCAGTGTCGACTGGAGAATTGTTGGGAGTCTTTGCTGCCAGCGCTGGAAAAGGGTGGGGTCAACGGGAATGTGAGGGGGCAGCTGGGAACTCCTGGACAGGAGGTGGAGTCTCTCCATGTCACTGGGGGATGAGCTTCCCTGATATTTTCCCAGGTGGAGAAGGGGGATCCCATGCACAAGTGCTTGGTCTCACCTTCCTCATCCACAGAGGAGCTGTTGACGGGCTGAAGGTGGAGGATCCCACTGCAAAGCAGCAAAGGGGCTTGACTTGCATGATTATAAACTACTCTCCCTTCTCTTTCAGGACCCACAACAATCTCTACATGCCAGAGATGGTGGCTAAGCTGGGGGAAACATTTGCAAAGGCTTTAGATATGCTGGAAGTGGAGAAGAATGCCATCCTAGGTAAAGACAGCCAACTCCTCTTTATCTGAATCAACCCTCCTATCCAGTTCACTGGCAGGAAGTGGTAGCACAAACCCCCATCTCCCTATCTCGGCTGGGGGGGGCATCACAGCTTCCTGGCAATTCATTCCCAAAAGAGGGACTGAGCTACTCATGTGTGTCTGTCCGTAAGCTGCATTAATTTTTCCGTGTATACACATCTGGATCTGTGTGCTCCCATAACTAGATCATTGTTCCACAGCAACACTGCCTGCCATAGGAGCAGAAACTTGCTATCTGGGCATCCTCAGTAGAAGTCTGGCCCCTGCCATTTGTCTCTAGTCATTATAAGTAGGGCTCTACCAAATTCACAGCCCTGAAAAACGTGTCATGGATGGTGAAATCTGGCCTTTTGTGTGCTTTTACTCTATTCTATACAGATTTCATGGGGGAGACCAGCGATTCTCAAATTGGGGGTCCTGACCCTAAAGGGAGTTGCAGGGAGATCACAAGGTTATTTTAGGGTATTGCCACTCTTACTTCTGCGCTGCCTTCAGAGCTGGGCGGCTGGAGAGCGGCAGCTGTTGTCTGGGTGCTCAGCTCTGAAGGAGGTGCTCCGCCAGAAGTAAATAAGGGTGGCAGTACCATACCACGCCCCCTTACTTTTGCATTGCTGCCTTCAGAGCTGGGTGGCCGGAGAGTGGTGGCTGCTGAATGAGGGCCCAGCTCTGCAGGCAGCAGCGCAGAAATAAGTGTGGCAATGCCACACCATCCCATCCTTACTTCTGTGCTGCTGCTGGCGATGGCTCTGCCTTCAGAGCCGGGCTCCCAGCCAGCAGCCACTGCTCTCCAGCTGCCCAGCTCCGAAGGAGTGCCGCCACCAGCAGCAGTGCAGAAGTAAGGGTAACAGTAATGCAGCCCCCCCTACAATAATCTTGCAACCCCCTCACCCCCCCCACCCTAACAACTCCTTTTTGGGTCAGGACCCCTACAACTACAATACCATGAAATTTCAGATTTAAATAGTAAATCTCATGATTTCAGCTATCTTTAAAATCCTATGACCGTGAAATTGACCAAAATGGACCATGAATTTGGTAGGGCCCTAATTATAAGTAGGTTTTCAGAACCTCATCCAATAGATTTGGGATGCATCAGGCATGTGAATAAATGAAGTGTTCTGTGTAACCAGGGAAGGATGATCTTGGGGTTAAGGCACTGGCTGGAACTTGGGAGATCAGGGTCCAATTTCCGATTCTCTCACAAACTCACTGTGACCTCATCAAGTCACTTCATCTTCCTGTGCCTCTGCTCCCCATCTGTAAAACAGGGATAAGCCTTCCTCTCTTTAGGTTGAAAGCTCTTCAGGCAAGGACTGTCTCTTCCTATGTGTTACAGGACTTAGGCTACTGGGGCCCTGCTGGGACTCTAGAGGCTACCATGGTGCTAACAACTTGCACCCGGTGAGTCTGACCAGCCCCCAGGACAGCAGGTGACTAGTAAAGAGCCCACGGGGGCTGTTGGAAGAGGGGTTGCAGAACTGGCAGGTTCTCTTCTGGCCTACTTTGAAAGGCTGGCCCTGTCAGCCTATCCGGAGCAGTGAAGAGGGGCTAACGGAGCTGTTGGAAGTTGTACACGCTTTTGCTGCATGTCCCTAAGCTGAGAGAGCTGCCACGTGCATATAGTGGGTACGTCCAGGTCAGCAGTTGTCCAGATGTGGGGGTTCTGTTGGGTGTGTGGTTTTGGTGCTGTAAATGGGCTGGCTGGCTTCTAGCCTCACTACTTGGTTCCACGTGATCCTGCTGAGCACCTCCCTCGGTGCTCTCCCAGCAGCCAGGCCTGGCTGAATTGGGGCTGCTGTGAAGGTGCTGTAGGATGGTTTGAGGTCTGTGGTTGATGTATTCGATTTCTCTTTCCCCTCAGGCCTCCCTCAGCCTCTCCTGGAGCTTTATGACTCTCCTGTTTACAAAACCATCTTAGAAAGGATGCAGGGCTTCTTCTGTACCCTCTATGACAATTGGTAAGATCTCCCTCACACAGTCACTGGTCAGCTGTAACCTGGAGTGGACCATCTTGGGGAGGGGGGGTGGCATTCTGACACAGCTTTCCATGTGTGTGTACTATGGTTTTTCTAAGTGACCATGAGCAGTGATGAACTACACAGAGCTCCCGTAACCCACCAACCATACCTGGAGTGCAACTGCCAGATTAGCAACACAGGCTGGTGGGTCTCCTGATAACTCTTCCACTGTCAGCTTGTAATACCCTGACCTAGTTTGCTGCTTGTGTCCTATTTCAGGGTTAGTAACATCAGCACTTGGAAATGCTTGTGCTTAGATACTTCGGGGATGGTCCCTCTGCACATTCCTGAGAGAGGGATCCCATAGTGAAACTTCCTATGGGCTTTACGTTGCCACAAGGCGAACACATCTCCAGAGTGGAGCCCATCCAGCCTTTGCTACCATGAGAGGCATCGCATCTGTTGTGCAGCTTAGCTCACTTATATCTGGCTTTTCATTGTAGTTTCCACATCCTGGGTAATGCTGGCCCATCAATGCAGCAAGACTTCTACACTGTTGACGGCCTCGCCAGCCAGTTCCTCAATTCAGCTTTTGTTAACCTCAACAATATTCCCGACTACAGGCTACGCCCCATGCTTCGTATCCTTTGGCTGTGGCCTGAAGCCAGCCCAGGAACCACTACAGACTGTGGTAGAAGGCTCCCTTTCCAAAACTGCTCTGGCTTCAGTCACTCCTCCTCCTCTTCAAGACTGAGCCAGTGGAGGTAGTAGGGAAGGTAGATCAAATTAAGTAAATCCTGCCTCTGCCCCTTTACATTGTGGCTAGGACTGTCCTGCTCTGTTTAGTGGAGTGTGAACAGGTGCACATGGAAAGGCACTGCAAGGAGTGAGGTCAGCACAGATTACATGTGCAAAGAAGTTGCACTACCCTGGGCAGATGCAAGAAGGAGGGCCTCTCTGCCAACAAGTCCAACCTACAACAACCTTTGGGGGCTAGATTTCTCAGGAGGTTGGAAACAGGTTAATCTGGTGACTGGTTCCGACTGACGTCTGCAATGAGCTGTGGTGCTCGATTCAGTTCCCAGGGCACAGCTGTCCACATCGCAAAACTACCACACACGTGGTACTAATTGTCCCCCTTCTGGGCAGTCTCAGTTGAACGGCCTTCACACACTAAAAGTGGGGCCTCCAAGACCCAGGTCAGGACTGCTGGGAAGGTGGGCTTAAGAAGCCTGCTGCGCCGCTCTCTTTGCAGTTCCTGCTCTGACTTCAAATGCTGGTACTGTCCCAAGCGCTAACGTTGCTCTGATGTTATGTCTCTGGTGTGAATGGTTCATTGGTTGTTGTCAGTCTGTTCCAGCTAAGAAGCAGAATGCATGGGGCTCTTCCATGTAAGTGATGGAGCACTGCATGCTGGGACCTGCAGTCTCCATGCTGTATGGTTGTCAGCTGTATTGGTGCACTGCAGCCCGCCCTGGCATGACACTTGTGTGCTGCATAACTTCCTTAACCAGCCCATGCAGGTGTGTTTGTGAAGCCCTTGGTTCTCTCCTGCCCCTCGGACCACTACGAAACCCTTCTCTGTCCCATGCTCGGCCCGCTCTTCACCTATCTACACGTGGTAAGAAACAGCTTTTTCAGTGTCACTTGGTGCAGCTGGCTACTGGGAAAGCTCAGGGCTCCTGTGTCAGAGTGGAGACGTCCCTCCAGATCACCCTTAGCAGGGCTCCAAAGCCCAATTACACCGGGAGCAGAGCCTAGAAATTTGACTTTGGCCACTTCAGTGTGTGGAGTCTGGAATCCAGACATCGTCTTGCCCAGTTGCACCCGCCATGCTGGTGTGTTAGAGTTCCTGGCTGTGAATTTCCAGGCTTGGGGATGTGAGCCCCCTCTCCCCCCCCGTGGTCTTCAGTCATTTGAATCTCTGTAGGCTTAGGTCCTTGGCAATGCTGGGTCTGCACTCCCTTCTTCTCCCTTTCCTGGTGGGTAGATCTGTAATTCCTAGAGCCAGCACAGCTACACCAGCTTTCCAGCCATCACTAGGCCTGTGGTTCCCAAACAATGGGTTTTGCCCCAAGTGGGGTTGCTCCATCAGCAGGTGGGGTTTGGGTAATCCCGAGTGTGCTACAGAATGGCGTCCTCTGAGCAAAAATGGCATCCTCCGCACAGCGTGCCCTCACGTGCACTCCATGCAAGATCTTGCTGTGCGGAGGACGCCATTTGAAAATGGCGTCCTCCATGCTGCCTGGGGTTGCGGGAAGCAATACATCTGCAAATGGGTTCATGCAGGGAAAAAGACTGGGAACCACTGCAGTAGGAGTTTTTCCTGGGCTCCTGCCCTGTTCTGGGGGGGCTTTGAGAGAGGTATATTTAAAGTTCCTTTGAGTCAGACCAGGTTCCTCACAGAGCCATGTCTGGTGGCCAGGGTCCTGCCCTGTTGGCTCTGTGGTCTGGTGAATGGTGTCCAGATCTCTGTACAGTGTTTCTGGGATGGCTCCTTGAGGTTATTAAATCCTGTCCGGTGTTTTTGCAGAGACTGTCCCAGAAATGGCAGGTCATCAGCCAGCGGAGCATACTTTGGTAAGGGACGTGGACTGAAGGGGAAGTAAGGGGTGGGAACCACAGCGTGGGACTCTCATCTGGCCTTTTGCCTCCAGCTGGCAGCACTGGGGAAGGGAGTAACCCTCCAATAGCAATATCTATGAGTTCCAGAGAGTCGTGTCCAGCCCTCCTGATTGGGATGGGAGCACAGGAGACCACCACCCCGGCCCCACAGAAAGGGAATCAAAATGGAGGTGGTGCTGCTGGGCCTTGAGCTGGAGTCTGCAGCTCCTTGGACTTGTAGTCTGTGGGGAGGGTGAGCTGTTGAGCAGCTGCCTGTGGAGTGACTGTTCCCTCCAAGCCTGCGGAGCTATGAGGGAAGATACCCTGAAAAGGGAGACACCATCCCTCTTGATGCTTCTCTGTGATGCTGTCTCCAGTGGAGCTGAGCTTCTGCTCATCTCCACAGTCTCTCCTGTCCTCACTGGGGGAGTGAAGGTCTCTGTTAGTCTTTGGTCATGAGAGAAGTTTCTGCCCTCCACTCTTCTGTTAATCTGGGCTGTGATCCAGGCCAGAAGCCTGGCCAGCTGAGTCGTTCGCTCCATGTATGTGGGTAAAGCTAGCATACTAAGACGCTGCCTCCTTGGTCTCACAGTGCTCCCCTAAACTTCCCCCCACCTTATTTTTCTTATCAGCGAGGAGGACACAGCAGATGACAACCCTGAGTCCCAGGAGATGCTTGAGGAGCAGCTGGTCAGGTTGCTGACCCGGGAAGTCATGGATCTTATCAGTAAGTGAAACAAGCTGGTTGCAGAATGTCACAGAGAGAGTCGTGCCCTGGGCAGGAACACGGGGATTGCCAGACTGCATCATATCTGTGGTGTAGTGGCCAGCAATGGAAGGCATATGTGTGATAAACTGCCCCCATGAAGGTCTCATCTAATCCCTAATTGAGATCAGTTTACACCCTAAAGCAGAAGGTTTATCTTCCTTCCAGTACATTTTTCTGTTAGCATTAACTATTAGAATTCTGAATATTCTTTGTATCCATGTAGGAGTCCAGCCCCTCTTTGAAGCTTGCTGAATTGTTGATTGGTGTCTGAGGGGGTACATGTGATCTGTTTCCTTGTGTGTGGGATCGGGGCAGGGGCGTTTGCCTGAGTGCATTGGCACCTCCAGGAGCAGAGTCAGGGGCCTGGCCTGATCATCATCATACTGCCGGTGATCACATCACTTCTCCCTCTATGTGATGAGAACATCTCTCTCTTTCCTTGGCAGTTCCCTTTAGTTAGCTCTCAGGCTTTCAAACACCCCAATGCAGAGTTTGAGGAAATTTATTTCCACATAAGAATTACACTATGTCAGAGAGCCTGACCTTGTGATTCATTTCCTAATTAGCCTCACCCCCATCGGTTGCTGCACCCCAGCCAGGATCCTGGCACTGAATAAACTTGCTCCAGTGCCTTCTTCATTGCTCAGGATTTCTGAGACAGTCATGTACCCTGTGACAGGTTCCCCCCAGGGTACCACCTGGAACTGGTTTGCCACTGAGCCCCCTGATCCACCAGTCTGGGCTCCCTCTCTCACTGTACTGCTGTGACAGCTGCAACACCCTCCAGGCTTGAGCCTGCACTTTCCCCAGCATACATACAGGTAGGGACACACCCAGCTGCAGTTACATGCAGGCTATTTGACCGGCCTCTTCATGGGAAGGCTACAGCGGGGGCACCTCCCAGCTCCTCAGGCATGCACCCCCTCTGGAGTATTACACCGTCTTGGGGTGCACAGGGAACTGTACAGCGTAAGCTCATAAAATTCACCCCCTCCCTCAATGTTGAGAGGAATATGGCAACAGCCTCTTGCCCTTGAGTTATGATTCCCACACACTTGTTTAGATAAAGCAAAAATAAGTTTATTAACTACAGAAGATAGATTATAAGTGAGAGCAAACAGCTCAAAGCAAATAAACAAAAAACGCAAACTAAACTTAATATACAAAATCGATTGGATATGAATAGCAATTTCTCACCCTAAGAGATGATACAAGCAGGCTGCAGATTCTTAAGAGGCAAGTTGCACTTGCTTACAGCTTGGAATCCCCAGATGTTTCATTCACAGGCTAAAAATCCCTTTAGCCTGGATCCAGCACTTCCCCCAGTTCAGTCTTTGTTCCTCAGGTATTTCCAGGCATCATCTTGTGTGGGGAGTGAAGAACACCAGATCATGTCACTCCCCACCTTATATAACTTTTGCATATGGCGGGAACCCTTTGTTTCAAAGCTTGGTCCCCAGATGAGTCTGGAAAAATACTGACATCCCAAGATGGAGTCCAGCATCATGTGGTCTGATCACAATTCCTTGTAGAGTCAGAGCAGCCATTTCTCGGGGGGTGTAACATTTTCAGAAAGGCTCCCCGGATGGGAGATAAGCTTCTCCTAAGGCCTATTGTTTTCCTAATGGCCCATTCCCCACCCACTGTCTAGAATGAAAGCATGTTGTCTAGTCGGCATTCCCCAGGTATAACTACATCTGAAATGCAGAGACATAGTCAATATTTATAACTTCAGATACAAAAATGATACATGCATACAAATAGGCTACTTGTATTCAGTAAATCATAACCTTTCCAATGACATCTCACATGACTGATCTTGCATAAAATACATCATAACTGTCATAATCCTATCACAGTAATATCACTATGAAGAATGTGAGGTGCAGTGTCACAATCCCCCTCTCCAGTCTGGTACTGCAGCGGGTTTGAGGAAGGAGATGCTGTGACCAAGACACTTGAACTTTCTGCCCCTTAGCCCAGTCTTTGGCCTCACTTCCCGGCTTTAATGTTGCATTTGGCGTTCCTCAGCCGTTGTGCAGGGGACAAAGTTTGGGGAGTGCTGGGGGAGAACAAAGCAGCAGGGCCCCATGAGAATGAGCAGGACGATCCCTGTAGGCTCTGTGCTGATGTCTCCCCTGCCTTCCTGATCTGTTCTTGTCTTTGCAGCTGTTTGCTGTGTTTCAAAGAAAGGCGCTGCTGAGCATAACAGCTCTGCTGTTGCAGATGGAGACGGTGAGTAAGTTGCCCTGCTGTATCCGCTCACCACTGCTGGGCATACAGACAGACCCTTCCCACCTTTAGGCTGGCTCTCATTTGAGGCTCTGCGCAGTGTCTGATCAGGGTCTCCAGCTCCGCCCCCGGTGGAGCTCCTCTCTAGGGCTCAGGAGCCCAGTCAGAGCTTCCCATGCTGACTTTGCAGGTAACTCTGCAGGAACCCAAGCGCTGGGGAACTGTCTGTGATTCTTTGTCCTGTGATGCTGAGGCTTCCTCCTCCCAGTCCCCTCTCAGCTGGATCTTCCCTCTAGGATACAAGATGCCTTTTCCACCCCAGCATATGAAGCAAGTCACCTACTCCAACTGGTGTTCTCCAGTCCTTGTTGGCATGAATGGGACAGTGGAAGTTGACCCCAGTGAACTGAGCTGGGGTGTCTGGTGAGAGAGGCTATCTGCATGGCCTCCATCCTAGCTGGGTGAGCTGTAGCTAGGGGGATGCTCTCACCCACACAGGCTAGCTTGGAGGTGTTTCTCTGGTGGGCTGAGGTGTCGACTCCAGAGTGTCGTCAAACTCTAGAACTAGAGTGAGCCTTGCTGGTGTAGCCCTTCCCAAGGGAAGATGGTGTTCACGCGGCTGCTTTTTCTCTGCTTGTAGATGATGAGATGATGTCCACAGACGTGACCCCACCTTCCAGTGCAGAGCTAACTGAGCTGGGCAAGAGTTTGATGAAGCAGGAGGTAAGAGAGTGGAGATGCTGGTGGCCTCTCCCGCTTTCTGTACCCCTTGTACTTTACTGTAGTCTGTCCGTGCTCTCAGTGCAGCTGTCTAGTCTGTGTATCCCCAGAAACAAGAGCCCCCTGTACCAGAGGGAAAGTCTGTTTTAAGGGCCTCACCAATCATCCTGGAAAGTGCTAAAGGGGGAGGTGGGAATAAGGATTCAGTATAACAGGCTTCTAGTGCATTTCAATCTGAGTTGATGTATGGTCCATGCTAGGAGTAAGTTCTTTCCTGTAGTGTTGCCTGCCTGGCCCTGCTCCCTTTCCTGGGCCCTGCCTTTCAAGAAGAACTACTTGCAGCAGCTGATTTTTCTGTAACATCTGCCCAAATTATCAGTTTTTGCTCAGGTCAGAGCAGAGGTGGGGGTGCTGGGAATTCTCTGCTCTGAGGCACTGGCACGATCCACTTTACTCTCCTCCCCACACTCAAACTCCTCCTCAGATATGCCCCAGAGTTCTTTGCACCGACTCCAAAGCAGCAGCTGGTGTGAGTTCTTGGAGTGTTCTGGTGTTTGTTCCTGCCCACTTGCAACTGCCTGACACCTTGCTTCAGCAGAGACTGGCAAATAGGAGTAGACCCAGATTCTGTGGCACCTGCAGGCTGACCAGGTAAATGCTGACCCTCACTCATGCACAGAGTGGAATGCAGTGCTGCCTTTGGGGATAGTCAGGGACTTCAGCATGCATCTTGCTTTTTGTTGGAGCATTAAGTAGGGTGCCTCTGTTAGGAAGATATCCCACCTGGATTCCTGTGAATGCACCCCTGTCAGGAACAAACCCTTCAGCCAAGCTGGGAAGTGCTTCCACTGACTCATTCTTTCCTCTGCCTTCCCCTTTCCAGGATGTCTGCACTGCTCTTCTGATCACGGCCTACAGATCCCTCTCCTGGAAGGACACCCTGTCCTGCCAAAGAACCACCACGCAGCTTTGCTGGCCATTGCTCAAACAGGTACTTTCCCTACAGGGGACCATTGGTGGAGGGGGCAGAAATGGAGGCTCTGGGTACTGATGGCTCCTTCCCTTCTGACCCCCTAACCTTCATGGACAGACTCCGACTTTGGTCTGGATGGGAGCTAGATGTTTCCTCCGACTGGACTGTCTGGAGCAGGCCTGGCTTGTGTTAGTATCTCGGTTCCATGCTGCTGTTGTCTCTCCCCTAGGTGCTCACAGGGAGTCTGCTCCCTGACGCAGTGACCTGGTTCTTCACCGGCGTGCTGAAAGGGTTGCAGACACACGGACAGCATGATGGCTGCATGGCAGCTCTCGTCCACCTGGCTTTCCAGATCTATGAGGCTTTGGTAAGGAGCTGTGGGGAAAAAAGGAGGGAATCTTTATGGTGCCAGGTTTGATAGTAATGAATGAACTAGTCCCAAGCCGAAGTGGGGAAGGGGTGGAGGAGGTAGCAGCCCCCTTCCTCTGTGCCATCAGGTGAAGGTGGAGAGTTCTGTGGTAGAACTTCTATTGATTGGCTTCTTCCCTTCTCCCTGTAGCGCCCCCGCTATGCTGAGCTGAAGGCAGTGATGGAACAGATCCCAGAAATCCAGAAGGAATCGTTGGAGCAGTTTGACTCCAAGCTTCTAAACCCAACTCTGCTGAAAGTGGCAGACAAGCGCCGGAAGGACAATTTCAAACGCCTCATTGCAGGCTGCATCGGGGTAGGCGACCGCAGAGCCCAGAGGAAACCTGTTTCCTCCCTGTGGACCGGGCTCCTGAATCCTGCAGAAACGGCCCTAGCCAGTCTGCGTCTCCCCTCAGCCCCTTTCCCTTGTCCAGCTCTCTGGTGCTGCTGGAATGTGGCTGCAGCACATCCATAGTGTTGGTGCTGCTCTGGCTCTCTTCAGCCTTGGCCTGGGTGAGATGGAACTGAGCACTCTGGGCACCTTGTGGGAGCTCTCCAAGCTGAAGGGCTGCTGGCACTGTGCGTACAGGGCTCCTGCAGAGAAGGTGTAAGCACCACTGGGCAGGGCCCACGGGTGGGTACAGAGTTTTAGCCAGGACAGTACCATTGGGCTCCTATTGACTATGTGGTCACAGTCAGGACCCCATTGTGGCAGTGTCACCTGCATTGGCATGTACTGCAGATGCCAGGCTACTCTCCTGGACACAGAAAAGATTGGGGACATGAACCGAGAGGTTGGAGCAAAGCATGGTACCTGAGCTGGGTAATGACTGCGACACACTTAGGTGATTCTGGGGTCCTTTGGCGGAGTGAGTCTGCAGGTGCAGTGACTAACCTAGGCCTGTCCCTCTGTCCCCTGCAGAAGCCTCTGGGAGAACAGTTCCGCAAAGAGGTTCACATCCGGAACCTCCCATCTCTCTTCAAAAAGGTGAAGCCGTCACTGGAGACAGACGTACTGGAGAACAACGAGGATGGAGAAGGCCTCACTGCGCTCTTTGAGCCCTGAGCTGGGGCACGTCAGCCACCCCCACCCCCACCCCCACTTCATATTTTCTGTCTCCTCTTGTAGTAACCACATTAGAGTCCTCTTCTCACTCCTCCATGAGCATTTGCCTAAACAGAGCCCCCACTGGTCTCATTCCCATACCTTTCCTGTGCAGGGATGCGCCCTGAGTTCGGACTTGATCCAGCTTTCCCTGATTTTTCCCATCGGATTTGCAGCTTTAGGCTTCAGCTTGTGTGCAAGATGAGAGCTGAGCACATAGACTCCACTAGGTAGAGCCTCGTCATTTTGCAGCCTTGGGTCACTTGAACCCCACCTGCTTCTGGGCTAGTCCCTCAGGAGTTAGGTTTAATGGGAGAGGCAGAATGGTATCCCAGCGAAGATGGCACTCCCCAGCCTCACTCTGAAGGGAGGGAGCCAGGCTTCACCTGGGATGCATCACACTCCTGTTGTGCCCACCACTGGCAGTCCCCATCTGGCATCATCTCCAGTGTGACGACAGCAGAGGGCTTGTTTTCTGGTGAATCTCTTTCCCTCTCGGACTACTTGAAAGCAGCCCTAGTTTTCTCAGCTGTGATTGCTTTCCAGGCTGGAGGCTGCATGCTTGGGAGTGTTACAGTGCCCTAGAATCTCCCGGAGTCAGTGTTCTCAGTCTGATTTTTAAAACACTGTTCCTCTCTGGAAGGAGACAGACGTCGTCGTATGTGTGCTCAGTAGAACTTACTCCACAAGGAACCAAATGGAAAGCTGGCTTAGCCTTATGCCAGTTTCTATCAAAAGCCCCTCAGGACTGGGGCAGGAATGTCACGCAGCATTCCCTGTGGACTGGAAAATGACAGGTGCAGAGTATGGAAAATCTGGACCAGTCTGCCAAGAGCCTGTAAACCCTGAAGGGGATCAGCCCTCAGTGTTGCGTGGGGGTGACAGTGGGCCTGCATTCTGCTTTAGGGATATGCATTGTCCTGCATCACCGTTCTTCCTGAAATCTTGACCTCCTGTAGCCAGGGTTGAGGAAGACGGGGGTTAAATTCCTGATCTACCATTTTAGCAGAATAAGGAAATGTGGACTGAGATTTGAACCCTTCTGTGCCCTGTTCTAGTGGCAGTGAGGGTGGTTTAGTCTCTGTTACTTGAGGAACAAGTGTTGTGGCAGGAGTTGGGCTCCGTAATGCAAATTGTATGGTGGGGGAAGGTTTTTATCCAAAATGAGCTTTTATGATTTGCCATCCAGGGTACTGCAAAAGAACAGAGAACTGAAACCAATGAGAAGTGTATTGACTAGGCTGGGGCCTGGACAAGGAGCAGAACAGAAATCTTAGGAGAATGGGGCTGGAAAGAACAGCAGGCCTCAGGAACGCAGTGTGACTATCCCTGTGGCCTGAGCCCACTCATCCTATTGCCCTTGTTACACAGTCCCTTCCACTCTTTGCCTCATAATCTTTTTACTTACTCCTGAGCTGAAGTGGCTCCTGGCCTCAGCAGAGGCTGGTTGTATTTATTGTGTTGTGGTATTTTTAACATTGTGACTTCATGCTAGAAACAAAGATTTTTTTTAATGGTTTTTAGAGCCTTCTTTTGTAGGAATATTAAATGCGAAGCTGTCTCTGGATTGGTTGTTAAACCTCTGAATGTCAGTAAAGGTATTTTGGTTTCATACCCAAGGTATCATGTCTGCCTTTATTCTGTGGTGGTCTCTTGTCCAATTGATGATGAGGCGTCCATATTATGTATTTCTCCTCCCAACACCCATTTTTACTCCAGGGGCAAGTGTCTGACTCACAGCATTGAGGTTAATGTACTCTCTGGGCTGACTTGGATCATTAGCCATACAACATTTGTGTGAAGGTCAACTCAGAAGCTTAAGAACTGTAGTCTACATTTAAGGTATCTAGTTAAGAGGAAGGCATACATGACCTTTCAAGACCAACTGCTGCATTTAAAAAAGCTAGGAAAAGAGAAACTAAAGTTGCACCTAAACAAAATACTGCCTCTCATTCATGTAACCACTCCAACCTAACTCTGCCTCTGGTGACATACAAGAATGTATCACCATCATGAAACAAAGTATTGCCTGGGATGGTTCATTTGTCTTTTGGAAGTGACTCCTGATTCTGAGCTATGGAAGCTAATTTCCATTGGGTGAGGTAGTCTAGCCCAGCGTTTTTCAAAGTTTGGGTCACAACCTAGTACTGGGTCGCTCTGGTCAGCACCGCCAACCGGGATGTTAAAAGTCCCGTTGGCGGTGCTGCCCAGCTAAGGCAGGCTAGTGCCTACCTGCTCCAACACTGCGCTGCACCCCAGAAGCGGCCAGCAGCAGGGCCAGGGGGATCTGTGTGCTGCCCCCACCCTGAGCACCAGCTCTGCACTCCCAGCCAATGGGAGCTGGGGTGGGGGGTGGTGCCTGTGGGCGAGAGCCACAGGGAGCCACTTGCGTGCCTCCACCTAGGAGCCAGACCTGCTGCTGGCCCCTTCATGCGCAGCGCAGTCTGTGGTGCCAGGACAGGCAGGAAGCCTGCCTCTGCACCCCGGCTGCGCTGCTGACCAGGAGCCACCGGAGGTAAGTCCATTCCCCAGCCCTGAGGCCCTACACCCCCAGCTCCCTCCCGCACACTGAACCCCTCATTTCCAGCCCCACCCCACAACCCTCTGACCCAGCCCTGAGCACCTCCCAAACCCCTCATCCCCCAGCTCTGTTGGGTCACAAGCATCAACAATTTTCTTCAACTGGGTCCCCAAGAAAAAAGTTTGAAAACCACTGGCCTAGCCTGTGACCTGCATGAGGTCAGATTATATGATCACAGTGGTTCCTTTGCGCCTTAAAAAATCTATTATGGTTTTATTTTCACTTCAACTTTGAATAGGGAGGGGGCACAATGATATCTGCCACTGGTGTTACTTAGTTACACAGTAGGAATTTCCTCTTTTTAACTGCATAATTTAAAAAAAAAAAACTATAGCCTGTATTGACTGTTAATCATTAAAACTGGAAAATATGAAGTGGGCTGTTCCCATATGTTTAAGTGATATGTAACATGCCTGCTTAGTTATGCACAAACGTAGAGATATGAAAACAGATGCAGGAATGAGTCTTGCAAACATTTGGCTTTTGTACTAGTTTTATTAACAAGTGCAGCTGTGGGATTATACAGTTTAGGTGTCAGTTCATTTACTCTGAGGGGCAGAATGAAGGGTGTGATGATTATTTGAGTCAGGGTCTTGTTTTGTGAGATGCTCCCTCACTTTCAAGGTTTAGTAAAATGCTTAAATTACATACATGGACCCAGTCTTTCTTCCAGCTTTTATACTTTGCCTAGGATTTTCCTCACTTTAACACTCCCAATCAGGGACTGGAGAACAAAGGCATATGGGAGAGGGGAGCCATCTCTCCCACCCTTGTTCCCTTCAATAGCTAAAGGGTCACTTTGGTTTGCAAACTGCTGGCCTGATTGACTTCACTGTTGATAGAAAACTTCTTTCCACAGATAATTATTTTGCTAAACAACTGGGTTACAGTTTGGAGTCCATCTCTGCAAGGAAGAGGGCTAGAGCCTTTTTAAAAAATGGAAGTACAGGGCTCCAGCAGTCATCAGATGCCCTGTATTAAGCTCCTACTGTGATAACTTTAGAAACAGTAATTTACTAACTTCTGAAATCTCATTTTAACCACCTAAAGTTTTTTTTCCTACATGGGAAAAATTGGGCAGCCTTATTTTTGATGGTGGGAGACTGATATTCCTTTATTTTTGGTCACCTACTGAAGCCCATAAATAAAGAATACTTAGTTGCAACTAAGAAGCAAGCTGCTTGTGTATAGTGAACAAGCCCAGAGCCACGGCCGCACACCCAGTCCAGTGTGATCCTTACTTGAGTATACTTTCCCTCATATGAGTTTCATTAGTTGTGATGAAATCTGCAGTTACACAGATCACATGCCTACTCCATAAGAACAGGCTAGTATCCTCTTCTAAAACTTTCTGCAGCTAGGCTTATATTAGGCCTGGACCTGATTAAGAATGTTGAAAATCCAATTTAGTTTTTATTCTTCATGCTTTGCGCAGCTTGACCTAGAGCACATGCTCCTGTATAAGCAGTACTGCTTCAATTTTCACAGCGTAGACCCCATCTTAATAGAGATGGTCTTAGCATCTCTCTTCCCTTTAGTGATCAAATAACCACTGTAGCAAATACAGCAATTGCTTACCCTGGAGGGAAAAAAGGCAAGTGGCATTTTAGCCTCTCAACACTATAGCCCAGCTTTCAAAGCACTAGCATTTTTATTGTTAATGAATTAAGTGGTGCCTCTTTCCACTTTCCTACCTAGAAAATCAAGCCCCCCCCAGGCTAAATTGATGTAATGAAGTCTGACAAAACAGCCTCTACTTTATTAACAATTCCACACAATCTGCCTTTGCTTGAAGTTGGCTCTTCTCCTTAGCAAGGCTTCATTTAGAAGATCTAGGGCCTTCAGTAAGGCCCAGTGGCCAGTACAAGCCCCTGCTGTGCTTTACTGGCCCTCCTCTGCAGGTGCTGAAACCCATTAGAAAACAAGAGCCATAAGACTTCCCTAGGCTCCTGCTAGTGCATGTACACAGCTGGAAGTGGAAGTGCTATCAGTCCTGAAACTGTTAACAGCATGCCTTCATTTCTAGTGTGTCCACCTGCTTGCTTACATACAGTATGGGGAATAGGTGATGGATGGTCCCATTGCTTGGTAACAGAAGGTCCCCTCCTGTTTACATAGGCTTGTGGGCTGGAAACAATCCCTGCAGATAAAGAGCCCGGGCCAATAGAATCAGTCTCTGCTTCTCAAACATGGTGTCCTGAACTGCTCATTCCATGTGGTTGGAGTCCAACTCATCCAGGAACCGTCGACATTTCCCTATCAGCACTTTGATGGCTTCACTCACCAGCACATCTGGAGGCAGGACACCTGTAGACTCCACTGAGACTGGGGAAACAGAGACAAGGGTCAGCCCAGCTACTACCCAACATCAAATCCTCCGTGTTCATTAATGACTTGGATAATGGAGTGGAGAGTATATTTACAAAATTTGCAGATGACACCAGGGGGAGGGGCTTTAAGCACTTATCTTGATTGAATTTCAATCCTGTCCTCCAAAGTATTACCCTTAGGAAGAAAAAAAATCAAATGCACCACTACAAAATGGGGAATAACTGGCTAGGTGATAGTACCACTGAAAAGGATGAGGGGTTAAAGTGGATCACAAATTCACAACTTGTGTACAGGGCTAATAATACACCCCAGACTAACAGGAATAGCCTATCTAAGAGAGGAGGTAACTATCCCGCTCTACTCGGCTTTGGTGACGCCTCGGTTGGAGTACGGAGTCTGATTTCAGGCACCACACTTCAGGAAAGATGTGGACAAAATGGAGAGTCCAGAGGAGAGCTACAAAAATAAAGAGGTTCAGAAAACATTGACCCACGAGGAAAGGTTAAAACTGGTCTTGTTTAGTCTTGAGAAAAGAAGACTGAGGCAGGACCTGACAACAGTCCTCAGAGATGTTAAGTGCTGTTATAAAAACAAGGATCAGTTCTCCACATCCACTGAAGGTAGGACAAGAAGTAATGGGCTTAATTTGCAGCAAGAGATTTAGGTTAGATATAGTTAGAAAGTTTTTCCTAATAAGTGTAGTTAAGCTCTGGAATAAGCTTCCAAGGGAGGCTGTGGAATCCTCATAATTGGAAATTAAGAACAGAATGAACAAACACTGTCAGGGATGGTCTAGCTTTCCTTAATCCTGCCTCCGTGCAAAGGGCTGGACTTGATCACTTCTTAAGGCCCATTCCACTTCTATGATTCTATGCTCCCCGCCACTCTGCCTACCCATGACTACAAGCAGACAGTAACCTGCACACAGTGACAAGTTAATCCATTGTGGGCAACAGTTCAGACACTGCAGGGTTTGCTTAGTACAGGGAGAAGGAAATGTGGATGCCTCCTGCCCCAAAGCGAAGCCCCCACGGGGCACCCACTGTAACATGAATGTATGAAAGGGTTGACCTTCTGCAGATGATGAAGAGGCTTAAAATAGCGTGATGACAAGTTTCTGCAGGGAGAGAAGCTAAGGAATGGACTGAAGTATCCAGCAGAAGAGACAGATTACTTACAGATGTAGTGATCTCGCACTCGTGCCAGGCGCACAAGGTTTTTCAGATCATCATGACGAAAGATCTCCCGGCTAAACGTGTCCATCCGAGCATTGGCCACTCTTGCCACCTTCTTCCCTGCAGGAGATACGGACAAATACACACTCCCTCTCCATACTAGTGGACCAGCGATCTCCTTCCTGCCAGCACTGCACCCAAAACATGCAATTCCCCCCACCAGGAAAAGGCACTGAAGTCCTACACAAAAAAAACTTCCTTACTTCCAACACAAACTTCAGCAAGGCATAAGTCCGAAAAGGCAGCTCCAGCTCAAAAAGATAACGTGCATCCTGTCCAACATTAGGCACAGGTCCACCTGAGGCCTCAAGACTGCTGGGAATGGCAAACTCACAGCCCACTGTTACAACAAAGCCTCATGGACAACTAAGCAGTACCTGCAGCTATAAAGACCAATAAAAGAGCTAAGTGGACAGGCATATCCTGCCCTGGCATCTGAGGGAGAAAATAGGGAAGCCTCAACCTCATCACATTTTTACACATGACAAACCCATTCATTTCTAGAGCCCACATCCAGAATAGAGATTCAGGGCCATTGGGGGAATAGGCTCTGTTTGTACAATGCCTGGCTCTAGCCTGTACTCAGTCTCATCTCTGCAAATGCAGAGTCCCTGGAGTGGAGGTGGAAGGTACCTTTGATGTTTTGAATCTCAATAACTCCCGGGGAGAAGCACTTCTTCAGCGTCTCAGCTGCCTCCCCCTCGATGGGCTGCAGCAGAGTGATGTCAGGCAGCAGCCGGTAACTAGCTGTGGCCACTGGAGAAAACTTGGCATGGTCTTTACCTGAGGGAAAAGAGATAAGAAGTCAGGAGCATGTTGCAGCAACTCAGAGAGAGTAAGATCCCTCTGGGCTGCCATTACCATGGCTCTTCCCAGCCCAATTTACCCCAAGCAGGCCCTGACTGTACCATTGTGAAGAGGTAGCAAGACATCACAATCCAGTCTGACGCTGCACTGCTGCTTTGTGCAGCCAGGATGAAAGCCCAGATTAGTTGCTGGATGATGTGGGGCTCATCCTAGGACTGCCTTGGGCTTCAAGTAAGGATAAGCAGCACCCATCTCCATTCAGAGTGCCCACTAATCCCCATTAGACAAAGTTAAGCTCTGAAGTGCTCCTTAATGCCTGCCATTTAAGACTGAACCAAGCCACACTCAAGGTCCCACAGATCAGGGAAAAATTCTTATGACCCCATGCCCACTACACACACCATACCCCACCTGAAAGACCGATGCTTTCCATCTCGCTGTCCCACTGAGCACCCCTGACTCACCTATGCCTTTGACACAGTGCATGAGCACATCAATTTCCTGGCCAGGCCGCAACTGGGCAATAAGGATGTCATCATGAACAGGCCGCAAATTTGCATCTGGGAACAGGTCTGCTTGATTTCCCAGGGGCACCCACGTGATGTGTTTGCTGTACACTGTGGAGAGATGTACCACAGGTATCAGACCAAGCTGTCTTAGCACCAAGGGAAATGAGGCAACACTTATACAAGAGGTTGCTGATCCCAGCAGGGCAAGGAAAATACAACTATGAGGATTGGACCTTGCAAAAAGGAAGTTTCATAGAGGGAAGGGATCAGTTTTCTTCATGCCAGGGGGAGGGAACGGGGAGGGGAAGAGAGGAGTTCTCTTTCTGGTAGAGGTAGAGCTCACTGGGGTCAACAAAGTCCCTATCCACTTGGGGAAGGGGAGAGTTTACTTCCAGAGCAGAATAGTTTTACCTTTGTGATTAATGTAGAGCTCATTGGGGTCAGATGACTCCTTGGCTGAGTGAGGGTTCCGGCTGCATTTGATTTTCAGCTGGAACTGCAGCGTGTCAATTTCTGTGCCTTCCTCATCACCTACAAAGGGATGGGGAAAGCAGAATGAGTCCTGCCTGGACTATCTCCCCACTGACTAGATTCCCACTCCCTCCTGGAACTGCAGATTTACTCAATCCATCTGGCACTGGTTTCACTTCGGAGCAGCCTCCAATATTTCCATTTATCATAGGATTCCCCTGCACAGACTCTCACCTTGGTTCTTATATTCAAAGAGGCGTGGGTCTGCTCGGATGGGGATGAGGCCCAAGCGATGGGCCAGGATCTCATCCTGCACGATGGACGTGTTGTTGTACACAAAGACCTTCTCTACAGCCATCGTCGGCACCTGAGGGAGAAGGAGACAGAGCAAATCAGGCAGGCAGTACCCCAGCCATGTGCTATTTGCTAACCACCATTCCCTAATACCCAGCCAGAAATTTTCTTGCTCCACCCCCACCCTCTTTGGAGTCTGATTAACTCTTGCTCTTCACAGACACCATTACCAAAGGAGGGATCTAGATGAGGATCCTGTATCTTCTCTCTTCTACTCATTTGAGTGTTACCATTGATTTTAATAGGATTTGCATTACCCCATATGAGCAGTTGTAGAACTTGGCCCTGTGCTTGGGGGACAGATCTGTGATTAGGATCTTGGGGGGGCTGTTTAACAGCTACTAGCAGCTGGACTACACTTATCATCCCAGAAAATGCAACAGCTTCTGCTGATGGTCTCTTATACGCCCCCCTAAGCTCTCCTAGCTTACAGAAGGACTGTTTGCCTCTCTCAGGAGCAGAGCCTATACATTGTGAGCTTGGCAGTCCATGGAATATCCTCACTGCACTTCGAGCCTATTCTCCACCCCACTGAGTTTGGGGCGTCTGTCTTCTCTATACCTGGGTCACAATCTCGCCTTTCCCAGGAGCTAGGTCTCACTTCCTGACAGTCCTAGGAGCTAGCACCCTGGCCAGCCTCCCTTGAGACTTCTTTACCAGTCAACACAATGTAGCTTCTGGGCAAAGAACAAGAAGGTTGGGATAAATTTTTGTCCATCCCAAAGCAGCTCAACATTAGCCAGGACTAGCAGTGAGAAACAGATATGACAGGATTTGATGGGGCTGGCAGTGGCTCAAATAGCCCTGGCGTGAAGGTCCAGAAGCCCCTGCTGGGTACCTCAGCGAGCAGGATACGCCGGAAGGCATTGGCGATGGCTGCGTCGATCCCCACCATGTCGAACTCCAGCGTGTTCTCATCCATGTGGATCACGTCCACCCGGAAATTCTGCAGGGCAGACGCAAGGGAACAGAGTCACTGGGGGTCCCCAGCTCCGGGGCGGGTGGGGGGGCTCAGCCTTGCCAGCTGCTGCCAGGTGACCAGGCAGCCTAGGGCCTGTCCCTTAGCCAGGCACTGCATAGCCAGGCCCGGGGTCACCTGCCATGGGCGGCAGAGACCAGCCACGGGAGACCCCAATTCACCCCGCTCAGCTCCCCCCTCTCCCGCTCAGGGCCCCCAGCCGCTTCTCACCTTCTCGAACTTGGCCTGGTCCCAAGCGTCGTCGTACCCGGGGTAGTTGCCGGGAAAGTCCGTGGTGTGAACCTGGAGCGAAGCAGAGAGCAGGTGCTGGGCGGGGCCGGGTCCCAGGGGCCGATACAGTACCGGACCCGGGACCTCCCGTGCCCCCCCAACCGCCGCTCACCCAGAGCGTGGCCCGCGCGCCCTCCCGTTAGACCCGCCCCCTGCCCGGGAGTGAGGCTCCCCACGACCCAACTCACTCACGTTGCGGACCCCGAACTCCCCAAGTATCACGCGGCTCCGCATCTCCTCCACGCCGCCGCGCGCCGCCATGTTCCGTTCGCACCCCTGGCACGTGACACAGTAACAGGAATGCTCTTCACTGCACGTCCCCGCCTCTCGGTCACGTGATACGGGCTCAGGCTTGTCTTCCCCTTTGACGGCGCTGACGTCGTGCGCCGACTTGGTCTTCACCATATTGGGTGTGGCTCTGTCATAGGAAACAGACACTGCTACTACCGCGTACTTGTAGGCATTGGCAGCTGGGCTGGGTGCGCGCTGTCTGGATGGCAGGGCACAGCCCGCACCCTTCTCCCAGGCGCCCCTTCACGCTCGCTTTTTCTGCCTCAACCAAGATGGCGTCGCGGCCTGGCCGCTATTACGAAATGTCGCGAGAGCAAAGGAGCGTCCACGTCCTCGGCCAGAGTGGCTGACGTCCGGGTCCGTCACGTCCGGGTCCAGACTAGGCTTCCCCGAGCCCCTACAGCGAGGCGCGGAGCGGAGCGGCCGGGGGCCCCTGTCCCCCCAGCCAAGGGGGATGATGTCGGGGCCCGGGGGCGCGGCGGCGGGGGCAGGCGGCGGCGGCGCTAGGAACGGGGCCGGCGCGGAGTGGGGCGGCTTCGAGGACAATATGCAGGTACGGGCCGCGGCGCCGGCCTGGGGGAGCCCAGGGCTGGCAGGGGGAGGCGGCCTGGGGGACTGGCCGGCCTGTGCAGCCCTGCAGCTGCCACCCCTCGGGGCCGGGCCCCCTGCGGGGTCCCCCTTGCCCAGCGCCTGCGCTGCTCCTCGGGCGAAGGCACCAGCACGGGACCTGGGGGGACCGTAGCGCTGGGACGGGGTCTCCTCTGCCCCGAGCCTCGGCTCTGAGCCGGACTCACTGTCCCTCTGCCCTGGGCGCAGGGAGGAGGCTCCGCCGTGATCGACATGGAGAACATGGACGACACGTCTGGCTCCAGCTTCGAGGACATGGGCGAGATGCACCAACGCATGAAGGAGGAGGACGTGGATGCCGAAGCTGCTGCGGCAGACGAGGAGGATGGAGAGTTTCTGGGCATGAAGGGTTTTAAGGGCCAGCTGGGCCGACAAGTAGCTGACCAGGTGAGCAGGATGCTGCAAGGGATGGGGCGCTGGCTATGATGGGCTCCAGATCCCATCTCGGGTCCAGGTAGCCGTTTCCCAATTGACCCTGTGCTCTCCTGGATTCTGTTCCCCATCTCCTGGAGGGTTTCCTAGTGCTCCAACTTGAGTCCCATTCTGGCCTTGATGTCCTTTATCCTACTTCCTCCCAGGCGTTGGGTGGGATGCTGATCTCTCTGAAGATGTTTCTGTTTCCTTCGGGTTATTTAGCCACCTGGTGCTTTGGTTCCAGGGAAATCTGCTCAGAGCAGCATTGCAGAAGGAGTGTTCAGTCTGCTACAGTTGCCCATTTCTCTCCCCAGATGTGGCAGGCAGGTAAGAGACAAGCCTCGAAGGCCTTCAGTCTCTATGCCAACATTGATATTCTCAGACCCTACTTTGATGTGGAGCCCATCCAAGTTCGGAACAGGTGAGCAAACTGGGCAGAGGGGCAAATGACTCAGGTCATGCAGGCCTCTCACCTGCTTTTGAGCAGCTGCATGCACTGCTGTGGCCCATACACCAGGTGCTTTAGAAGGGCTGCCCCGTGATAATGGACCAGGGACATATAGTAGAGGTGCCACCTGAACAGGGCAGAAGATCCATGCCATAAAGTGAGGAGCATCTTCCACCCTATCCCTTGTATAATGAAGGCCTGGATAGCTCCTAATTAGTCCACTTCTGCTTATGGGCTTTCTATGGAGATAGCTTTTGGGGGAAAGTGCTCCGGGATACTCTAATTACTTACCTCTCTTTATCCCTAAAGAGTTACATCAATACATCCCCTAACTGAGCTGGATGTTGTTTCATTTGTAGCCTATTGGTGCCATTCTGAGTGTAAGACACAGGGTTTGTGGAGCTGAGCCCAGCAGCTCCTTTAGCCTTTCATTGTTGCTAATCTCACATCCTGTGTGGGGAAAGCGCAGAGCCCTACTAAACCTCCATCTGTCCTACACAACGTTGGTTTTCACAGGTGCAAAGCTTTGGCTGTCTCCTCTATGATAGACTCTCTCTGGTCCCCACTTTCCCATGGTGCCATCCTGCCCTCAGGACACTAAGCAGGAGTTTTTTCAGAAATCTGCTTGTGCACAGGGGGCTAGGATTGCAATACAGATCCTCTCCCCTCAAGGGCACTGGTTCCAGTCTGGTCTCCGGTTGCTAGTGGGATTGGCTTGCTCTTTTGGGGGTAAGAGGGAAAGGGAGATGGAGCCTTACATCACTAGAGCACTGGTTCCAATCTGGCCCCAGGTCACGGGGTTATGCTGGCTCAGGAGATCAGGAAATGGAATACAGCATCTCTCACTTCTCAGGTTTCTTGTTAACCTTTTCATTGTCTTCCTCGCCCTTGACATCTTCCTGTGCTTTTGTGCTGTGCAGATTGCTGGAGTCCATGATCCCCATGAAGATGATTAATTTTCCCCAGGTGAGTTCCCCTGTGATGCACAAGGCTCTGTATCCTGAGTGAATGGGCTTCTGAGGCATTGGAGCGCTTAATCAGATGTTCAGGAGATGAGTTTGTTAGAAATGCCTATCAGTAGTCTGCACACCTTTGCCTGAGGGGGTTTCAGCAGTTGTGACCGGCAGCAAGGAGACCATAAGGCCGGCCCTCTTAAGGCAGTGCTGCCCTTGATGCCTCTCTCGGAGCTGGCTCAGTCGCACAACACCTACTCACCTCCACCCCCAACTCCGATGCTCTCCCAAGCTGTCAGTTTGCTAAGTTATAAGCCTGTCAGCAAAGTGCTGCTGACACAGTGCTACCGACCGCTCTTGCTAACTCTGTCACTAATTGTATTGGAGCTGACTATGGCCTGAGAACAGGGAACGCTGGGCTCTGACAGACTCCTTTTGTGGCCTTGTGTTTTGCCTCCCTTCCCCCCCCCCAAAAAAGGGCTATATGGATGAATTAGTTAAAGCACTTTTCCATGCATGTGCAAGGGTGATTGTTTGTGTATGAGTTGTGTGGTAGAAGTTCTTGTATGGTGCCTCAACAAAATTTCCTGGTTAATTTCCATTAAACCACATCCCCCAACCCCCATGCGGGGGGGGGGAAGCGTGACCCTAGCTCCTGATCTGACTCCTCAGTCAGTATCTCAGTTCAGCTTCCTCCTTAACCCTTACTCATGTGATTGGTTCTCTTTGGTTCCTATCACCATCCTTCGCTATAATTGCTCAGGTCAGTAAGTGACCGAGTATGAGCTAGGTCTAGGGCACTTCCCATATAGCTTGGAGGTGGTCTGGCTTCCTGCAGCACTAACCAAACCCCTCCCTTCTCTATCTCCCCTTGTAGAAGATTGCAGGTGAGCTCTACGGCCCCCTCATGCTGGTCTTCACATTGGTGGCCATCCTGTTGCATGGGATGAAGACATCAGACACCATCATTGTAAGGGAACATTTCAGTTTCAAGACAGGGTTTGCACCAGGCTTTGAGCTGTTGGTTACAGGGGGTGCTTCTGTTTTGAGAGTGACTTAGAAATGCGTTGATGAAAGGGACCTTGGTGTGCGGTAGGGCCTATTGTTCTGGGGCTGGCAGGGTCAGAAGAACCCAATTCGCTGCTGTCTGGGAATCTGGGCAGTGGGAAAGAGCCTACTGCAGTGGATGGACCAGTGCAGGGGGATAGTGCTGCTGGAGCAGTCAAGAGCAGTGCTCCGGCACCTGAAATCCAGGACAGGATGGTCAAGAGCGAGAAGAGCTGCCCTAGCCTGGGACAGGAGTGGAGTGTTGTGCCGGAGGTTCCCAGTGAGTGGCCAGAAAGGTCCCGGGGTGAGTTGTGAGTGGGGATGTTGTGAGATTGGGAGTGGTGGAGTTGGGGGGCCAGGATATTGAGGTGAGTGGGGGCTGTGGCCAGTGGGGTTGAGGTGTTGGGCACTGCTGGGAGTGGCATGTATGGTCAGGGCTGCTGGGATGTGTGTGGGGGCTGTCAGGCTAAGTTGGGGCTGGGGGGAAACCATTGCCATTAACTGATCAGCCAGTTAAATTGGGTTTATGGAGCAGCCCAATAAACGTAGCTGGGGAATACCAGTGAGCGTTGCCTAATTTGACATTTGTAGAGATTATTAATGTTGTAAAAACTGTATCTTATGTGTGCTGCCGATGGGCTTTTTGACTAAGCACATGTGTGCTTTGGATGTGCCTTGCTACTTAGCTTTTATACACCAAACTGTAAACTGAGTTATGTATGTTTTATGTTGATACGATACATGTATTTATTACTAAGGGCTGAAGTCTCAGTTGCTGTTATGCAACTTTTCAGTTAAATAAAATGTACTGGTAAAACATTAGGTGTTGGATATGGGGGCTTTCTTATGGTGATGTCACACACAAGACAGATTTTGGAGGCTGAGTTACCAACTTGAGATCACTTCTGCTGGCCTGCTGCACTATACAGTTTAGCACTGCATCACTGGTCCATGCCCCCCGGATGCTGCTAGTCAGGCATTAGGTAAACATCCACCAAAGGCAAGGGGAAATCTGCTGAGGGTGGGTAGTGGTTGGTTGGTAACTGTTCTGTGTGTGGTGTCTTTTCTGCCATCCTCTTCACCTTCTTGCTCTCTCTGCAGAGAGAAGGCACGCTGATGGGCACAGCAATTGGCACTTGCTTCGGTTACTGGCTGGGCGTCTCCTCCTTCATCTATTTCCTGGCATACCTGTGCAATGCCCAGATCACCATGGTACAGATGCTGTCACTGCTGGTATGTTCAGAGCGGGGTTCTCAGGGTGCAGGGTAGCTGCACAGAGCTCCAACAGGGGATGGAGGAGGGGAATGTAGCCCTTGCATCATGGTAAACTGATGGTCTCTATTTGTGGCTGTTCTGTGTACATATGAACAATCCCTTGGGGGTAAGGCAGGAATTTACTTTGAGTCTCAAGCTGCTATCCCTGCTGGGGACCCCTCTCCTGGGACAAGGGGAAGGGGCAGTTGCTCCAGACTGACAGCTTGTTTCTTTCCCTGATTTCAATGCCCAGCTGTGAAACTGGG